AGTATAAATACAACATTCCTTACAAAAATGACTGTTGTGGACGTTGATATTTGTTACTAAAACAAACAACTAACTAGCCGCTCTTTACCTTCATCTCCCACAGTTTAAATCTCAACTTTTGTTGTGCTGAGACAACTAACTTTCACCAAAATATTCACCACCAAGATTTTAGTTAAGCTGATGGATTCTTAATTCGGAGCCTGCTACCTGCTAAGGGTAGTGAACAAGAGATTGAGACATGAGCACAAGAATTGTACAACAGGTTGTGGGCAAAAGCAAATCTCCCCCAAGACACCCAAGAAAAAAAATATCTAAGATGTCAAACAAAACTAACCTGGGAGGGGAAATTCCTCTCTCACCTTTTTCCTGACCATCCCCCAAACCTGACAGTCAACGCAGTGTAATGCTTTAATTCTGTAATACTTCTAGGAAAGAAGATGCTCTACTTAAAAAAAAAAATCATAGTGTCACAGAATAATGTTGGCTGCAAGGGACCTCCAGAGGCATCTAGTCCAACCTCCTGCTCAGAGCAGGTCTAATTAGGTCAGGCTGCCCAGGGTTGTGTCCAGCTCAGCCTTGAACACTTCCAAGGATGGAGATCCCATAACCTTTCTGGGCCAGTTTACCCCAGTGTCTGACCACATTAGGATTATTAATCCTAATATCTAAATGGAATTTCTCATATTCCAACTTGTGCCTTTTGCTGTGCACCTCAGAGAAAAGTCTGGCTCTGTGTTCTCTGCATTCTGCAATCAGGTAGTTGCAAAGAGCAATAAGGTCTCCCCTTTGCCTTCTCTTCTCCAGGCTGGACAGCCCCAGCTCTCTCAGCCTTTCCTCGTACATCATGTGCCAGAGCCCCAGCCAGCTCAGTGGTCTTGCGTTACTCTTGTAACACTGATGGGCCTCTTTCCACAAGAGCACATTGTTAGCTCATGGTCAATTCGTTGTCCACCAGGACACCCAGGTCTTTTTCTACAGAGCTTCTTCCTAGACAGCCTGCCACAGCCCGCATGAGGATGATGCACGGATGAAACATGGGGTGATTCCATTCCAGGTGCAGGACTTCACATTTGCTTCTATTGAACTTCATGACGTTCCTGTCAGCCCACTTCTCCAGCTTGTCTAGGTCCCTCTGAATAGCAGCCATGCCCTGCAGCATACTGAGCACTACTTCCAATTCAGTGCCTTCTGCAATCTTGCTGATAGTGCACTCTGTGCTATCATCAAGGTTTTTAATGAAGAGTTTAAACACTATGATCCCAGAACTGATCCCTGTCAGAGTCCAGTTCTCTCTGATCAGGTCCTTTTAGATATTCTGTGTGTGGAGGGTATAATATTTAATACCAAATTTACTTATCTGAAGATAGTTGATGTTACACAGGATTTCTGATTTAGCAGATACTAAATATACTGAAAACACAAGGCAGTACAAATGAAAGTTACATTTAGCAAAATATAGCAATTGCAATACACAGTTCAATCACAATACCAATGTGATTCCCATTACCAGTCTCAGTAACATGCTCACTGTCATGACACGGTGTGTCCCCAATCCCCAGGAAGGAATATGTGGCTTGCAGCCAGCTCAAGCCTGATGGTCTTTTCAGAATTCTTTTGTTAGTTGTCTAGTTTTTACGCTCTATGTTGGGTTGAGCTCCATATTCACTCTCCCCATGCTGGTCTGGCTAACTCAGGGAGACAATCGTGCTTTTTAATGACGGCAGAAAGAAACATTTACACCACCAGCTGATCCATTCAACTGACATCCCCTTGTCCACAGGGTCCATCACCTTGTCAGAGAAGGCAATGAGGTTGGTCAGCACATTTTGCCCTTGGTAAATCTATGCTGACTGCCCTCAGTCACCTTATTGGCCTTCTCATACCTAGAAATTGCTTCTATGAGGATTTGCTCCATAACCTTTCCAGGGACCGGGGTGAGGCTGATTGACCCGGACCATCCCCCTTGCTACCTTCTTGCAGAGGAGTGTGATATTTGCCTTTTTCTACTGATCAGGGATCTCCCCCAACTGCCAAGACCTTTTGAAGGAGAGAGAACAGCCTCACAATAACATTGGGCTTCTCCTTCAGCACCCTTGGACCCATCTGCTCCTGTCCATGGAGTTCTGTATGTCCAGGTGAGTTAAGTGATTCCTAACTTCATCTTCCTCTGCTGTGGGTACTGCTTAATGCCCATGGACTCTGCTAGGAGGCTCAGTGACCCGGGAGACATGAGGGCAAACCCCACCAGTGCAAACTGAGGCAAAAAAAAAAAAGGCATTGTGAACCCCTGCCTTTTCCCTATCACTTTTTGCTAAGTTTCCTTCCCCATTGACCAAATGTGTGCACACTCTTCTTGGCCTTCCTATTGCTACCGGTGTCTTTTGGAGACATTTTGGAGGGAAGTAACTTCCCAGAAAAAAAAAAAAAATCTTCTAAGAATACATTCCCATTATGAAGTAAAACGCCAGAGTGCCATTCTGGTTTTAAGGAAAGTAACTTCCCCAGCACAGATTTAAAACACACAGAAACAAAAGCCTCTACAGTAATCTCTGGAGGCTAAAACCAGTGAAATGGTTTCTGGTAGAGGAAAATATCTCATGCCAGAGGCAACAGCCTGAGAGGGGTGAGGCTGCTGCAGCTCCCTGTCCCCAGGTCTGACTAGTAGCGAGGGTGAAAATATATTCCCTGCAGGCACATGCACTCAGGGGATGTGCATACACCACGTAGACGTACATATACATGGCCGGCCATGCAAATCACAGACACTCAGAGCACTCGCATGAACATAGTCAGCACCAGCAGCCTCATCCTGCTCCCCTCTCTGGCTGTGCAGGATGGGCGGTCACTGGTGAGAATATACATACACACACATGTACAGGGTGGATCCCTGCAGCGACTGGGCTCAGACACTCAGTCTGCCCAGTAGCTGTCCCTGGATCCTAGTCTCCCCAGTCACTGGCACCTGGACATACAAGCCTCCAAGGTGCAGCCCTACTCCATTTGCCAGTACAGACTGTCACACACACTCCCCCCTGCCCCCCCAAACACACATTCTCACCCACCGACACCCAAAACCCACTTGCCCCCAGCTCCCAGGCCACTTCACCAGCTGGTGCATCACACTTTCACTGACACGCCCTCACTCACCCCAGCCACTGGCCACCCCTTTATCTCCCCACACTTTTTCCTCCCCTAAATTTCTCATAATAATTTCATAATCTCTTGTGTGATCCCAAACTGCTTTTCCCCTTCATCCCACCCCTTTTCCATCCTGCTCCTTCTCCTCCCCTCTGGGCAGGTGCCTGGGCGGGGTGTCCCTACCCAGCCAGCCCCACACCCCAACTCACTCCAGTAAAAGCGACCTGCACAGAATCACAGTTACGATTTACAGTGAAGGCAGCATCAGCCCCAGCCCAGTCCCTGGTGCTGGGGACAAGACCAGTTTGAATTGACTGCAGTTATTGGGCGTGTGTGGAGCAGGCATGTTGGCTGAGAAGAGAGCTCCCACCTCCCACCAGATAAGCTTTTGTCACATAACCTAACAGTTTTCACAGAACAAGAAACTCAAAATGATTTTGAAATCCTCAGGCAAATATATACTCAGCCGTTAGCTGATTGAGCAGACAGCACAGAACTGTGTGTGTGTATGTAAGAAATGGGGGAGGGATAAGAAAGCAAAGGTCCCAGCCTGTTCTGCAAAATGCTATTTGAAACAGTCTGGGGAAACCAGAACAAGAATAATAGTTGGTTGTGTGGGAGAGAGTAACTATAAGGTGAGCCAAAGCTGAGACCTGAAAGATGGGCTTAGAGAAGTAGAATGGGGCTGCTGATGAGAGAAACTGAGCTAGCCACATGTGGAAAAGAGGGGAAGTTGGTTTGGCAGCTTCATTCCCAGGGTGTTTCAGCACATTTTAGCCATTCCCAGAGGGACAGGCCTGCTGACGTGGTCGGAGCTAACAGGGAAGCCGGGCTGTGCAGGCTATTTAGAGCAGGAATAGCTTCTTCTTCACACACAGCAAAGCAGTTCCACAGCGCTGAGCATTACAACATACTGCACATTGGGGCTGCAGATACATCAGGCGAGGCATTTTTTTTTTTCAAAATCCTGCTGCATTCAATTAAGCTGTGGAAGCTGTTTAGGTAGGTACCCATTTCGCTCAGTTCCCTCCACTTTCATTCACATTCGCTCGCTTTACTCAACTTCATTCACACTGTCAAACCCCACGCCCACAAGCGCCGAGGTGCGTGTGCCCCGCATAGCAGTTACTACGGTGGCATCCTTGTGCTTCGCAGTCGGGCTACTTCTGCCTTCACACGCTTCAGGCAACGTGTTCGCCCACTTTCTGTGTTTCTGCATTTAAAGTTTCTGAGGCTATGGTCTGCTTCCAGTTAGATAACAAGGAAAAGAAATGGCATCGGTGATGTGCTGTATCTTCCTGCAATGTCCACCTGTCAAACCACAGGGTCTTCTGCAGACAAGTTGTCTATGCTACAGGGTGCAGGCCTCCCTGGTTTGAAAGAAACAACGTATTTCTCAATTTTACTGCCTTAAACTGTGTCTTTGGTTATCAACCCAGGCCATTCTTTTCACCTTTGTTCTGCTGTTTCTTCTGGTGCTTACACACACCCATTTCCATTCATAGTTTGCTCATACCAATCAATATTTCAGTTTCGAGTCTCTGAAAGATGATTCAGCTTACTAAGGAGCCAGGTGAATGCCAGAGTCAGGGCAAACAAGAAGAAAGCTGAAAGTAAAGGACAGCAGAGAGAAAGATGTACAGGGATTACGTTTTTAGCAGCACTAAGAGGTTACATCAACCCAGCCACTTGCTCAGTGGTTTCTAACTTTAAGCAAATGGCTTCATATTTAAGGCTGGAATCACTCACTGTCCTGTGAAAATAATGCCAGTTTGGGACTCCTTAATACAGTAATCCCTTCTGCCTCACCCAGTTGTGTTGTTTCACATAAACCGTTTGTTTGAGGTTGGTGAGAAGTTAAGTGTTTGGGGCATTTTTATTTGCAAAACGTTATACCAACAAACAGAATAAATCCAGTAACATTTCTTTGTTTGCTTTCACTCGGGATTGATCCAAAAACCTTCTTGAGTGTATTTACTTGTAGAATAGAACACACTTGCCAAGGTTGTATTCACAGCTTCTTTCTGCTTGCAGCATTTCACTTTACTTTTCTGCTCCACGCTGTTTCAACAAAGTATCCAGTAAAGCTCCTCTGACCATACAGTTCAGATTTCTGAGTGGATTAAAGCATAAATGCGTATTTTCACTGAAACTGGCTAGAAAACAAAAGCCAAATAAATACGAACAAATGACTGAAAGGTTTGCCTGACTCATGATTATTATCTACTGTTTGGAGTTGGAAATACAATACTGTTTGAATCATTTTCTACCTTATCAGTCATTCCTGAAACTACCTCAAGTATGGATCTGAGTTTTATCATCCTCGGCAACCTGTTGACAACCTGAGAATGCACGTCTGCACGCCTAGAACATTAACCAGGCCAGAACCTTCAATTTCCTTATCTGAAGCTAGAACTGATGTGACAAACTGCTCCTTCTCCTTCTCCTTTTCCTTTTCTACTGCTTTTTAAAAATGACTTAATTTGTTCAGGTATCACAGTAAGAGGGCAAATATGGGGAAATATGACCAATTAAAAGATCCTTCCATAAAGAGCAAAACCACAGACTGTACCACCTTGGTCCCATTCCCTGAGGTGGTTCTCTTTCTGTGACCTGAACAGTGATCGTGACTGTGATTCTGTAGTTTCACATGCCTTTCAAACCAGGCATCAGCACTAGGCAACACAGGCTGGCATTTGCTTTATTTTTGAGGTTAACTTCCTGATCCAGATGGAGCAGTTGATACTTACTGTTCCTTAAGCTTGCATTGCCAAAGAGTACGAAAGCTCATCTCAAATGGATGTAGCACTCAGCCCTCTCCCCATCTTTCTGATTCAGTATCTGCTTCTCCCCAGTCCCACAGACCTTCCTAAGTCCTACGTCAGCATTAACAGGAACTGGTCACCTCTCTCCACGCATTAACAGGAACTGGTCACTTCTCTCCTTCACACCCCCTGCCAGGACACCCGCTGCTGCAACCAGCCTTGATCAGCAGCTGACTGCCAATCTGGAAGAAAGAAAAAGTAATGGCATTGCTACATAAATACGAGAATTATTTGGGTGTGCTAAGTTTTTCTCCCACATTATAGGCTTAATGCTCTCTACTATATTTGTGTTAGTGTTACTCATAGGTAGAGAGAGCAGAAGTTAGCAGGGAGATGAGGAAATCCTTCAGTGGATGCCGGTGCTCTGCTCTATATACACGCTCCAGGAGGGACTAGCTGGCATCCATACTTGATATATAGGGACCAGTAACAATACTACATATGGAATTTCATGCAGGTGGCAGTGCATCGCCAAATCCAAACATCAGAAACAGCAAAGAATCTGGCATTAAAAAAACAAACAAACAAACAAAACAAAACAAAACAAAACAACAAAAAAAAAAAAACCAAAAAACAAACAAAAAGAAACAAACCCCAAACCAACCAAGAAAGAAACAACACAAACAAAACAGACAACCAACAGAAACTTTCAATCACTCCTCGCACAGTTTGCCTCCTGCGTGGCTTTCAGCCGAGGAGGCCTCCGGGCTCCCTCGGCGGCGGCTTCCCGCCTCCCGCCTCCCGCCTCCCCCCTCAGGGCTCCCTCAGCCGCAGGCCCCGCCCGCCGCCGAGGCCGAGCCCGAGCCCGCCCCGCACCTTCGGTTTCGATTCCTCCCGAGCCCGGGCCGGGCGGCGGCCGCGAAGTCCCGCCTAGTTCTTGGTTTTGTCCCGTCCCGTCCTGTCTCGTCCCGCCGCGGCCGGCTGAGGGGAAAGGGGGAACGATGAGCGACCCGGCGGTGTGCTGCTTCCTCACTAAGACCCTGTGCGCCTACGGCGGGCAGCTGGGGCTGCCGGAGCTGCGGCGGCACATCGGTCTCTCGGCGCAGCAGCTGGAGCAGACGCTGTCGGCGGCGGGCCCGCAGCGGTTCCTGGTGCTGCGGGACGGCGACAGGGCGCGGGTCCTGGCCCTCTCGGCCGTGCGGCTCTGCGTGCGCAAGGAGTGCGGCGGCTGCGAGCGGCTGCACCTCTGCAAGCTCCACCTCATGGGCAGGTGCAACCTGGGGCCCAGGTGAGGGGCGCCGGGGCGGGGGGCGCCCACACTCACACCCCCCCGAACCCCTCGGACACCCACCCGCAACCGGGACGCCGCGGGGACCGTCCCGGGGGGCATCGGCGGCGGCCGGCAGCGCCGCGCCTGCCCGGGGAGAGGCTCAGCCCCCCCCCCCTCCCCGCCGCGGGTTTGCCGTTCTCGCTGTTCGGTGAAAGCCCGAAGTGGCGGCGGTGGGTCGCGGTTTCCTAAAGCCGGGTTTTCTTCGTGTCCGGGGTCCGGCTGGGTTCGAGTTAATTTTCGGAAGAAGCTGGGCGGGGGCAGGACGGCTCGCCCGGCCTGGCCGGGGGGCTATCCCACACCTCAGGGCGTCATGCTCGACAGATAGACGGGGGGAGCTGGGGGGAGGGTGTCGCGGCTCGGAAACGGGCTGAGCATCGAGCTCCGGGTGGGTGAGCAATTTCTTTGTGCATCACACACTTCGTACCTTCTGTTTGTTAGTACTATTAGTCTTTCTTCTCTCCTTGTCTTACGCTATTAAACTATCCTTATCTCAACCCACGAGTTTTTACCTTTTTTCTTCGATTCTCTTCCCCATCCCACAGCGGGGGAGGAGGGGAAGGACTGAGCGAGGCTGGGCCTAAACCATCATGCCTTGTCAGTATTACAAATTTTTTTGTTAAAGCCGCTTGCCTGCTATACCTGTCCCTCAGCCCCCTGGCATCTGGATGAAATAGTTTACAAATATTTCCCTAGTAAGGAAAACACAAAGTGCTAGTGTGCTTTGGTTTTAATCTAGAAAGTTGTGAATGTTTATTTGCTGTAAGTCACTGCTCTGCTTACAGCTGTTTCTGCGAGAAGCTGCATTTAATTTCCTGTGTACGTCAATACGATAAAGGAAACTAAAAGCTGAAGTGGAAACCAGAAGATTTTCAGTGACCATCGATGGCAGCAGTGAGCTCTGATGGAAGAATTAGCAGTTTAAGGCCCTAAGCCCAGGTCTTGCACTGCTGCAGAGTTAGTAATATGCTGATACCCCACCAGATTTTTTCCTCTTCTGACCCAGCAAAATAGCTCATTGTGTACTCCCGTCTGAAGAGCATGGAGGGAAAAGTCCACATCTATCTTGGAACAGTACTAGCAAAGTATTAGGATGCTAAGATTTTCTCACTGTTTCTCACTTTACTGATGATGAGCTTCTCTGATTCACTGTTAGAAATACCTTCAGGTGTACATAGGCACTTGCACTGGATGACTCCATGTGAACTAAAATGTGCAATGAGGTGATTCCCTTTGTAATGATAAACCATTCTGTCCTGTCAATAGCACAAAGTATTTAAAATCACCTTTGTATGTGGTAATAAATAATAAAATGAGGAGTGTGCCTTTCATGGGAGGGAGGTTGATTAAAATGAGGGAGCAGAAATACTGCTAGGTGGACCACATGGATCAAGACAGAGAATAGTTTTTAACTAATAAGGTAAAATCTAGCTTTGCTTTCCTGTCTTGCAACCTTTTTGATTTAGAATCTCTGGAAAGAAAAATGTCTGTGTAAGTTACTGGGTTCTTCCTACTTTGTGGAATCAGGATTTTAGTCCTGTTAAACTCACTTTTAACTTGTGATCTGGCAAATAACTTCACTGCTTTTTTTGTTGAATGCGTTATTAAATTCAGCTGATCAGTTATCACTGTATTTGTGGACTGCTTCAACCTTTGACATGGAAATATGTACTCAAGTGATGTAGATCACCGTGTGACTGTCAGTGGAATCTGAGGTTAACTGTGGAGGAATGCTGGTGCTGGCTCCCACCCTGAATACTATGTAGCTCACCTACCTTCACAGCCATTAACTCAGTGCCTACAGAATCTCATATCCTTAGATTGTTTCTCAGGACCAAAGATGACATGCTTCTGCCCTTGAGCCTTGCGTTCTTGTTTATTTGCTTACAAAGCACTGTGCCCAACAGGTAGCAGGGGTCAGGGGCAAAGTGTCTCCCCAAGGGTCTGTACAGAAGGATTGGACCAGACACAGCATGAGGTAAAAAAAGCTTTCATGAGGAGAGTTCCAGGAGTTAACTAGAGGATAAAAGCATAAAGGGAACAGACACTTGAGTCTAATAGATTAACAGGTACTTTTATTGGTTCAGTATGTCTGGTCTTAAGGCTGTATCAAACCATGCTTTTGAAGAACATGACATAAGGAATCTGGGGTTTGCTGCATTGAATTAACGCTCAGGTTGACTATGTTTCTCTTTTCATTATTGATTTGCACTATCTTTTCAAACAGATGAAAAGAAAAATCTCAATTCCTCTCTAATTCATACTCACTTCAGACGTTTCTCTTGGGATAGTGTTACTAGCATATTCATTATTGTCGTTTAATTGCTTCTTTATCCAAAACTCAGAAGTTAATGAACTTTCTTGGTTGTTTTTTTTTTTTTTCTGTGTGGTTTTGTTTTTTTTTTTTTTTTTTAACTTTCCTGCCAGCAAAGATAACAAATTATGTTGTTTTCAGCTTCATTATCTCTTTGGTTTGTGCTCTCAGACACTTGCATCATCTTTAACATGCCATCCCTGGGACAACAACCTTTTACGTTTGCAAAGTCAAGGGTATTGCAGCTTCCACCATTGTTGATGTATTCCTCTAAAATTAACTTTCCCTCCAACTGTTCAGGTCGTGTGACTTGACTTGCCTCTTACTGGAAGGAAGCTGTGGGTAGACAAACTTGGCTTCGAATCTGTGCTACTAGCTTTCTTAAGAGTGGTCTGGCCACATCAGTGTTTAAAATGGGGGATAATAATGCATTTCAGAGTTATTATGCTGTTTGGTCCGTTATCTAGCTAATTACAGAGACTATCTAAATGTTCACAGAGACTTTTGGCAAACTAGCTTTCTCTTCATGGCTTTCTCCAAGTTGCATGTTATCCGAGGTTCTTCTTTAAATTGACTTAACTGAAAAGTAAACACTGATATTTCTGTGTATTTTCTTGCAGATCTTGTAAGTACTCACATGACATCATCAATGCTGAGAACAAAAAAGTTCTAAAGACCCATGAGTTGTCTGGCCTTGATGAGAATGAGCTGCGAGTCCTGCTTCTCCAAAATGACCCTTTCCTCCTCCCTGATGTGAGTTGAACTGATTTCTTAAGAGAAGCTTTTGTTAATTAGGAATGGGAGAGGGCAAGAGAGAATGTGGAGTTCTGATTTCAATTTCAAGCTGTTAAGATATGTAACAGTAGTACTAAAATTAGTCTGAGTGAAGTATGAAAGGTCGTGGATGTGTGTGAAAGCACCAGAAGAAACAATATAGAGCCAGGGTTGTGAAAGTGCCGTGTACTTACAACTACAGAAAACAGCAGCAATAAATCTGTTAAATACTGAGGAGCGTGTTGCTTGCATGAATACCAGAAGGCTTGCTCCCACACGAGGCCATGCCATCTATGACTTATGGACAGAAGACCTGCAGTCTGGTGGCAGAAAGCAGGCAGTAAGGCTACAGCCTGTTTTGTGTGCCACCCCTGTTGTTCTAGCAGGATATTCATAAAGTTACTCAGAACAAGCAAACGAAAAAAAGTCAGCAACTTCACCAGAGACTTACAGATGGTGAGGTAAGCAAGACGGAAGTGAAAGGTCACAATAACTGCATATGCTTACAGAATAAAAGTCCTGACCGAAAACCAGTTGGCTCTTCTCCAAGAGATGATGGAGACGGGGAAGTGAGGGCCCCTTTCCTTTTTCAGCCTACCTTAGGTGTTGTGGTTTAACCCCAGCTGGCAACTAAGCACCACGCAGCTGCTTGCTCACTCCTCCCCGCTGCCCCAGTGAGATGGGAAGGAGAATCAGAAAAAAAAAAAAAAAGTAAAACTCCTGGGTTGAGATAAGAACAGATTAATAATTGAAATAATTTTTTAAATTAAAATAGAATAGAATAATAATAGTAATGAAAAGGAAGATAACAAAAAGAGAGAAAAATAAAACCCAAGAAATTAAATGACAAGTGATGCACAATGCAGTTGCTCACCACTCGCTGATCGATGCCCAGCCAGTCCCTGAGCAGTGATTTCTGCCCCCCACCCCTGGCCAGCTCCTCCCAGTTGATATCCTGAGCATCATGTCCTGTGGTATGGAATATCTTTTTAGCTAGTTTGGGTCAGCTGTCCTGGCCATGCTTCCCCCCAGCTTCTTGTGCACCTCCTCACTGGCAGAGCATGAAAAACTGAGAAGTCCTTGACTTAGGATAAGCGCTACTTAGCAACAACTAAAACAACAGTGTGTTATCAACATTATTCTCATACTAAATCCAAAACACAGCATGGTTCCAGCTACTAGAAAGAAAATTAACTCTATCCCAGCCAAAACCAGAACAGTAGGCTTGCACATTTTGGTGCTTGAGGGTGTGGGGGAGTAAGAAAAATCTATGAGAAAATGACCAAATGCAGTCAGTTTTGTGTAAAATCTGCCCCTTCCAAAGTGCACTGAGTTCTGGTACACTAATCTGCTACAAAGCAACTTTTGTCCAGTTTGTGTGCAAGTCCTTGATTTTGTTAAATTTGGCTGCATGTGTGCGTAAGGGCAATACTATCTTCAAGGTGTGGCTGTTTCAAAGCAAAGAATATCCTGTTCTGGCTACAACTGTGCCTGCTTAAGAAATTATTGGAGTACTGCTTGTTACCATTGTCTTTTAGAAGTTATAACCTCCACTGATCTGTTGGCATAACAGTTCTGTTGTTTTCTTATTCTCTGCTGTGACAGTGCTGGGCTTTGACAAAATAATTTTTTTTTTTGGGGTAGTTTTTAAAATATGTTGTGCAGGCAGATTCAAGGAGTACGGTGTTGATGAGCAAGGGGGGTTAATAATCTTTGTCCTGCTTAGCTGCATCTAAAAATTAAGTGTTTCTTGTTTAATTACTCCCAGTAATGAGCAGATAGTAGCAATCATCATTGATTGGTATTACTCTTAAGGTCTTATATATAAATCAGTTCAGGCCTCACCGCTGGCAGGCATCATTAATTACCTCTAATTGAACACCATAACTCCTATTACGGAGTAAAATAGCAAGAACAAGAGAAAACAGTGATGTGTGCAGGCCATTTATAAATCTGAGAGCTGGGGAGAGGGATGTGAAAGCCGATTTGGTGGTTTCTTGCATAGAAATGCTGACAAACGGTATGTATGAAGCTCTCAAGCAAGAGGAAACTTTGGCCTTCTGTGATCTAAACTGGGGTGCAGGGTAAGAAAAACACAACAGCACCCCAAAATCAGGGATTTTTACACTTTCCCTCAGCTTCTCTCTGGCTCTGCTTTTTTTTTGTTTCTGGCCAAGTGCAGAGGGCAGCTTGCTTTCTGGATGTAGCTAAATAGTGGATTCCCCATGTAGTTGAGGCAGCACTTTGTTCTGGTTTGGTAGTTTATTCTGGTGCTCCCATGTAAAAATTTTGTCTTGCATACCACCATCATCTTTTAATGTATCTTCCTCTTGATGCTCTACAAAATCACTCTCATCCACATTCAGTGTCTTTAAATCTCTGGGAGCTCTACTTTGTAACTTAACTGGCTGCTATTTCCACTATTCTAAAGCGATATTTTGTAATGAATACTCCACACAAAATGTTTTCGGTACTCTCTCAGCTTTTACCCGATTCTGTATTTTAGTTGCTTTTTTCTCCTACTCTCTTGAGGAAGAAGACACAAGCATGAAAGCAATTCCTGGCCCCCAAAACCAGTGTCAGACATAAGCCTTATTCTTTTTTTTGTTAGTTCTTAAACCAGTTTCAGGCTGTGTGACAAGCTGGGCTCTCTGCTTCTGGTTTTGATCAGCAGTGTTCCTGGAGTAATATTGAAGTTAAGGGGGAAAGATTGGCTTGGGGTAAAACCTATTAAGGAAGCAGTGATTTTAAGTTTTTCTAGAAGCATCCAGAGAACTATATTACCCCTTTGAACCAAGGGACTACTCTATAAGTTTATATCACAGACATTTGTTTGTGTTTGATTGTCTGTCTCTGGTGGATATTGAACTAATGGTTTCCAACTTGGTGACTTGATCAGTTACCTCCACTTGGGGGGATGGAGAAACAAATTGCATGTTTAAAGCCTTAACTTATTTTTCTTGTTAGGTAGGCACTCAGATGAGGCATGTACATATTAGATGAAGGTAACACTTCGAGTGGCATCAGGCCCCCAAAATAGAACAACGTTCTTTACCTGGGAAAGACCATCCCTTGGAAGTGGTGTAAGATTTGAGTTCTTTGGTGATTGAAGTTGCAAAGCATCTCCCACAGGACTGTTTGCTATTACCTAGCACTTACGTATGTTATTGATGCATAGATGCTAGAGTGCTCTGTAGATGATAAGCCTTTCTGCATTCTCCTTGGACAAAGTTGGTAAAATGAAGGAGAGAAAAATGAAGAGACTTACCCAAAACTCTGGAGTAGGTAAATAATTACTTTGCATTGGCAGGTGCTGATACTTTTAGATCTCACTAGGAAAGGCACATGATGCCTAAGACAAATAACTGGTTACTATTAAAGGTCATAATGAGAAGAAATGTTCTGTGTCTCTCCTGATGTCATGGGAACCCATAACAATACAGCATCAGACCAACCTCTTTGGTAGGACCATGACTTGCTGTGCAGAATTAGCATCCATAGTGAGGTTCAGCACCCTTGCTGTTCTTCACATCTTTATTTTTTTGGAGCAGAGGGAACCCAAAAAGAACTCCAAAGCTATTTGTCTTCTATCCATATAAAACAGAATGTTCTAGATGATACACTGAGGTTCACAGAGAGCATTATGCTCTTACACATCTCTATAGGACCAAGCTCTTACAAACAGTTCCTACAGGTTGTATTGTTAAAGGCAGTCCATGCTAATGGCATGGTATGTGCTATCATTACATGGCTATCACTAATGATAATGTATGGGCCTCTCTGCAACTAAGGCCTACAGGTAAACTGCCTAGATTTGCCAGAAGTGGCAATCTCCTCATTATAATGTCTTCCACAGTGACCTACTATGTAAGCTGAAAATAGGTCCAAAATGTACTTTCTCAGTACAAGAGAGTGATGGACCTACTGGAAGAGGAGTTCAGTGCAGCGCCACCGAGGTGATGAAGGGACTGGAGCATCTCCCACATGAGGACAGGCTGAGAGAGCTGGGTCTTTTTAGCCCAGAGAAGTGAAGGTTCAGGGAGATCTCATCAATATTTGCAAACACTTGAAGGTGAGGGTGTAAAGAGGACACAGCCAGGCTCTTCTCAGTGGTGCCCAGCACCAGAGTTGATGGGCACAAACTGAAACACTGGAGGTTCCCTCTGAACATCAGGAAATGCTTTTATACTGTGAGGGTGACTGAGCACTGGCACAGGTTGCCCAGAGAGGTGGTGGAGTCTCCCCCCTTGGAGATCCTCAGGAGCCTCCTGGGCAGCCAGCTCTAGGTGGCCCTGCAGGGGAATCTGCTTGGGCATCTGGACCACCTCTTCCCCTTCCTTCTTCTCACCTTGGTGTCTGCAGGGGCGTTTCTCACACTTTCCCCACTGTCCCCCTCAGTACTGTGCAGCATGTTGCCCTTTCCTAAATATGTTTGTCCCAGAGGTGCCACCAAGTTGGCTGATGGGCTCAGCTGTGTCCTGCAGTGGGTCTGTTGTAGCCAGCTGTGTCCAGCCTGGGGCAGCCCCTGGCTCCTTCTAACAGGGGCCACCCCCTGCTGCCAGCTCCTTGCATAGGCACCCAACAGATTGTAACACCACTGACAGGGTTTTGTGATGCAGCTAAGTTTAAATATATAAATAATAGCCACAATTGCAAGGGGGTAAATGGAAAGTTGTGATACAGTTGGACAAACAAGGTGCAGGAAAACATATATAAGTAAGATCTGAAAAATATCTGGTAAAACTAAAATCCTCCAGAGCAGACAAGAAGGTTGTATGATGAAAGCAGAATAAGCCAGTAGCACAAGCAAAACCAGAACAAGTCCAGATCCCGAAACTAAGGTGCCAAAAGCAAATGAGAGCATTCTTTGGGGTGTTAGGGGTAGAAAAGCATAAAGCATCCACAATGACAGAGGGAAGATGGGGAAGAAAGAAGGCAACTCCCTTTGGTTTGTGCTTCCCTCAGAGGCTAAGAACCATCAAGGATAGTAGCCATCAGTCCTCACTGAAATTATGTCAGTTCTGTGGCTTTGTGTGCTCCCACCTAATTTAGTGTAAGCTTGTGAGGGCTGATTTTTCTGTACACGATACTGATAGCAGTGAAGAACTCTTCTTTGGCAATGGGCATCATTAATGAGTATGAACCCAGTAAAGAGTTGTTTTGCAGTTGAAACCGGCCTGATTTTTTCAGCACTGGCATCCCAGCAATCTTTAATTTCCTAGCTGATATATATAAATCTACATATATATTCAATTGAAACACAGCATAAAAACTGTCTCTGTTGCTTGGAACGGGGGTTGGAAGGGGACCTGTGACAGTTCTGGTGTGATGCTGGGGCTGTCTGCCAGACAGCTGTGAGTCAGCCTCAAAGCAGCTTTCTTGTTACAGCCTGCTCCTCTGTGCTGCGGGAGCGGAATTGTTGCTGTGGTGCTTTGTGGGCAATATGAAGGAATTTTTGGTGTGTGATTTGTTCCCTGGGTCCAGTTCACTGCATCTCTCTTTTTTGGTGAGCAGAGCAATAAAGAAGTGCACTGCTTTTTCCATATGTACTCTAATCTCAAAGCATTCTTCATATAACGTTTAGATGCCCATATCTTCAACGCAGAAGAAGCTTTACAAATGGAGCAGTTCCAGCTCCATGAAATAATACCTCATTTGACACAGTATACATTTTTTTATGGAGACATTTGTTCTTTGTTATGTGGTTGTGGTTTGGGTTTTTTTTTAACAGAATAACTGTAAAACACTCAGTTGTTATGCAACTGTCTTGCTTAGGAGTATGAAAAATGAATGCTTATTGGATTGGCTTTTATTTTTCTTGGAAAAATATCTCTGTGCAACTTCAAAACTGAAAACTCATGAGTCAGCTGAAAATGCCTGCTCTTCCACGTAAGAAATCAGTGTGGATTAAAGAAGTCACAATGAACACGTGCCTTTTAGTCACCATTTTTTTGCTGTTAAAGCTGCATGCCTATAGAACAAAGAAAAAAATTACTGATTCTAATGTGATCTTCCATTTCATTTTGTATCTATCCTCTCCAATTCTAGGCCTGTCAATTTTACAACAGAAGGGATGATAGCTGCAACGAGCAAAACAACTGCAACAGGCTTCATATTTGTCGACACTTTCTCCAAGGGGAATGCAGATTTTTTCCATGCAAGAAGTCCCATAACCTCTTGGGTACCCAAGCATTGAGAGTGTTGGAAACTGGAGGCATTGATGTGAACATGGCGTCAAACATCCAGACTGTGTATGATCACAAGCATGAGGAATTCAAGAAGGAACTGAAGAAGGGGAGAAGTAAGTTGTAAGAAACACTGGGTTTTAACAGGATTCTGAGTTAGATAGAGGATAGTGGATAGATACCTCACAGCTAAGCCCCATCGTCCTTTCTGTGATTTCAGTACACAACTACAAACCAAGAGAAAATGTAATGAAAAAAACGGCAGTTACAGGGAGTAAAGAACAGTTTGGAGTGGGCTCCACACTCCACATGCCACCTTCAGAAGGTAAGAATCTAGATAAGTACCAGCTGCTTCCATGTGGAATCAGCTTTCCTATTTCCCCTATTACAACATGAACATTTTTTTTTCCCTTCTGCCATTCATCTGCTTTCAGGGATGGAGTAAATCATGGCCAAGTCATGCGGGAGGGAGAGCTGCATTACTGTTGCCTAAAAATACTGCATGCAAAATTGCTATTGAGTGATTGCCAATAATTGTGACTAGCTGGGATTTGTAACTGTTATGGCTGATCTGTTGTATCAGCAGTGGACTGTCAGTGGAAAGTTGTATGTGTGGTAGAGATAATCCTCAACACACAAATTGACATGTAGCTAGCTAGTTGAGGTTCTGGTCCAGCAGTGCCATTCATTCAGCCTTCTCATGCAGGTCCCAGTAACAAAGTACGTGGTCAGAGCCAACCCCAGTTGCCAGCAGGAGCTGAAGGTAAAGACAAAGGTATGAATTTTTTCTAACCCTTCAGTCTTGAGATCAGTGGTCCTCACTGGGATTTGGTATTGCACAGCCCTACAGCTCCCTGTGGTGGTCAGAGTGCAGCTTATGCGCTTACCCTACCACGTGCTGAGGGCCATAGTGCCGGATGGCCTGCGGAGGGCTGTTGGAGTTTCTGCCCATGCATTGTGTGGCGCAATGGGGAGTAGTCTGGGGTTGATCTGTGTTGTTATGGACTCAGAGCTTCCTTTCTGGGAAGGAGACAGAGTTGCATCTGTGTGTGCAATTCCTTTCCTTGCCTTCTGTCCCCAGGGAATGGATATAGCTTTGTCAGCAGAGCGCTTGTCTCGATATACCTTCCAGTGAGTGAATAGGAACTTGTAAATTTTCTGTCCTCTTGGGCAGAAGGGCCTCGTCTTTAAAGCCTGTCAGAGTCCAGTACTCTCTGAACAGGTTCTTTTAGATATTCTACATGTGGAGGGTATAATGTTTAATATAAAATTTCCTTATTTGAAGATAGTTGATGTTACATGGGTGTTGTGGGTTAATTCTGGTGAGCAGCTGGGCACCACACAGCCACTTGCTCACTTCCCCTCAACCCCCAGTGGGGCAGGGAAAAAGGAAAGAAAGAATAAAAATAAGAAAATTTGAGGAGTAAGATGGAGGCAGGGGGGAGGGGCAGGGGGCAGGGAAAGCGAAAAGTGGAAGAAGAAAGAAGCAAACAAAGCGAAGCAAGTAATGCAAAGGCAGTCACTCACCAAAAGATAGCTAATCCTCCTAAAACTCCCTCTTTTCCCTTTTATTGCTGAACATAATGTTACGTGGTATGGAATATTTCTTTGGTTAGTTTGGTCCTCTGCTTGTTTGCGTCCCCTCCCAACCTACTGTGCACCCCCCAGTCTATTCACTGGGTGGGCAGGGTGAGTAGCAGAGAAGGCCTTAGTGCTTTGCAAACGCTGTGTAGCAAAAGCTGGGGCATCAGTGTGCTATCAGCTCTGTTTTGGTCAAAAATCTAAACCACAGCATCATATGAGCTGCTGTGAGGAAGATTAACTCTATCGTAGCCAGGCCCAGTACAATGAGATTTCTGATGTAGCAGACTGATGCAAAATACACTGAAAACAAAATACAAATGTTAAGTTACACTTCCCAAAGCATAGCAATTGCCATACACAGTTCAATCACAATACCAATGTGATTCCCATCACAGGTCTGTTTAATATGCTTACTCTCACGACGGTGGGTGTCCCCAGTCCCCAAGAAGGAATACGTGGGTTGAAGCCAGCTCAATCCTGTTGCTCTCTTTGAAATTCTTTTGTTAGTTGTCTAGGTTTTATACCCCTGGGTTTACTCCCCCCATGCTGCTCTGGCTAACTTGGGGAGAAACATTTATACCACCAGTTGATCCACTCAGCTGACATAGCCAATTATCTACGGCAAAGGCCACCCTCTGACTGCCTTTGTGTTGAGACAAAGTCAGCTTCCTTGCAGCAGCCGTGGTCAGTCACACCCTACATTACTCTCTGAGCTTCATGACACCTTGCCCATCTCCACCGAGACGCCTTCCATTGTAGGGGTTTATTGGTCAGTCAAGGCCCTAATTCATGCGGTGGGCTGTACAGGGGATAGTCAGATCCTGAAAGTGCTTGGCTTGACTACTGCAGTCAACTCCTTGTTATTGCTGGGATGGAATGCCAAATGCAGTGTGTTTCTGTTAGAGTTGTATTTAGGTAGGGCGAATAAGGACTGATGTGTTCTTTCCTGTAGATAAAAAAGACAATTACTCTGCTAAAGCTTCAAAGAACAACAAAGAAGATAAGTCTGATGACATATGTGTGTTCTATGTCTGGCGGTACTGCAAACATAAAGGTATGCTTTAGAAAATGTAACGTTATCTTCAGAGGGCAGCATCTGCAGAGGCACTGCCCACTCGGTGGCTTGGACTAGTGGCAGCCTATGGCAGTGGCAGTTGTGCCTTCTCACTCATTCACTTTGTTTCCAAGTCACTAATGAACACTGTCAGAATTACAGACATAATTAGAGGAAAGTCAGGTGGGTACACTGAAACCCTTTCTCCTCTAGATGATCCATCTATGGCCTATTTCAGTCCTGTTATTGGGGGCAGGCCTTGGGTATGTTCCTGTGGCAAAAACCCTTCAAACATTAACTGTTACACTTTCTGTAACTATTAGATCAATGTAAGAGCTGGCCTTATGCTGTCAGTATTGACAACTGGTGACAATATGTCATCCTTTATTCCTACCATATCCTGTGTACATCAGATAGTAGTCATATTTTCCCTTGTTACGTCCTTTAAAAAGTGATCCAAGGTGTTAAAATGTGTTAAGAAAACACAGTAGTTGTACCAGCTAAGCTAAAGATAAACCTAGTCCATTGTCTATTTGGCAGTGGCCCATAACAGAGGTCTAGGGGAAAAATGTAAGTATAAACAATTGTATTTGGGCGCTGTCCCTGAACAGTCGCTTAAGCCCCAGATTAGGTTCTTCCTCTGTTATGAGGAAGTACCATGAGATTTTCTTTCAGTGAATGTGTCCAGTCACTTTCTAAAGGACCACTCCTTTTCTGACCACCTGGTCTTGGTAAAAGATACGCTTAAATTAGATCAGACTGCATTTGCTTTTGCTTAGGATGTGGACAATAAGTTGCCTGATAACTGTTTGGTTGGAGGTGTTTGTGTGTATTTAGCATTTCTGTAGTGGGTTTGTGTTCTGGTAAAGATGCAGTTCTCCCATCCGAAGCTCCTTTTCTGAGAGGCAGATGACTTACTGTAGGGCTTGCTATAATACCTCTTCTTAACCACCACTTTGAAGAGAGACAGTACTTTAAAAAATAAATTATCTCTTTTATGGATCACAGAAATGAAATCTGTGGCCAAGAGAGACTAAGTGTGGTTTTGTCTACAGCTTTTCAAGCTAATTTAAGCACAGTGCTTTCAAGACAGGGTGCGCTCCAGCCCTATTAGCAAAAAGGAGGAGGAAAGGAGTGACAGTGTTGTCTCCTGAACTGGGGTTAGTTTCCCTATGTTCCGTGGTCAGATACGTCAGAGGTCGGGAACGGTGAAACTCCTTTTGTCTCCATCTGTGCAGCAGCTACTCCAGCCTTGTATCACATTTCTCAGACTCTGCTTCTTTAGGACCAGTCTTGAGGCTTAAGTTTATGAACTTTTGGACCTGTATAATGTGAATGGTGTACCCATGTGCTAGCTGTGGAGGTCACGCTCAAAGCAGCTATGCTGTGACCACCAAATAGCTAAACTCAGATAACGGTTGGAGAGTTGGTGTGCTTTGCCATGCCATGTTTGGCTCAAACACTGTAATTAAGAGGTTTGGTCGATACTCAGGTGTGAAGTGCACTTCAGCTTTCCCTGGCAGGGAGGCCTAGAGGTCAGCCTCTGCCCGCATCCATCAGCATCCACACGTGCAGGGGTGTTAAGCAGGTTTGAACTCAGACATGTGGACATACATGCATTGAAAACATAGATGATTTATAAAAAAACAACAAAAGTCTTCCTCTTCCTATGTGAAGGTTATATAGCACTGCTGCAGGTCTTGCAAGCAAGGCAGTTAAAAGTTGCTGCTTCCTGTGTTCTGAGGAGCAAAGCAACAATTTCCACAGTGCCTAGCAATCATGTTAGTAGGGCAGTGTGCTGCCTGTTCAAGGGTGAGTGTAGAGTCCCTCTTGGGGGATGTTCTGTGGAGTATTGCAGTCCCTTATGCTGACTCAGTTGTTGGGATGCGCCTAAAAAAACCATTCAGGCCTTGGTAACTGCCCCACGAGTTCTGAGGGACTAAGGGAAAGAGAGAACCAAACATATCGGAGTGCTTAGGTGGTGCGTAGACTAGACTTTTACAGCTGAGAATCATGGTGGTGTGACACACAGACACACACTTCCCATCCGTGGCACTGCTCTCCCAGCTGCCGGTGTCATCTCTCAGCAAAGGGAAGGTCATAATTTCTTTGAAATATATTTGACAATGTGTGAGAGCTTACATTGTTTTTCTAGATAAGGCTGGAGAAACACACACCTCTATCGTTCAAACATAATTCTGTTTTCAACACTCTGTCTTTGTTGCTCATACCAAAACCCAGGAGATAAAGCCACAGTGTGAAAAATGCTTGTTCCCTTTTTTTTTTTTTGTTCCCTTGTCTTACTTTCTGTGTTATGATTGCAGAACTCTTGACTATATCTGATCTCATTATAGATAAATGCAGATTTGTTCATTACCACTTGCCCTACCGATGGCAAGTATATAATGGGATCAACTGGAATGACCTTTCCATGATGGAGGAAATTGAAAAGGCCTATTGTGACCCAAAGAACATCAGGTATAGTGATGCTGGACTGCTTACTTAGAGTGCTGTGGTTGAGCCCCTGAGGAAAAACTCTTGTTTTCTACCTAAAGATGTCTGATTTCCATAACTTCTGATTACTGAGCTTCTCATAATCTGTGAGGATGTCCAAATGAAAATTTTTCTCGTTAAAAATAATAAAAGATTTGTCTTCTAAAAATAACACAACAATATTTTGCATTTAAAACTCTAAATTCCACCCATTGCTTTTTACCCTGTATAGTGCTTAGACTATTAGTATTTCAGATAATGCATCATCATTTATTTATAATAATTAAATTGGGCTTTTTAACAACAGTTCAGAGCAGGTCCTTCTCTATAGTTATGCCTTTCCTAATACAGCAAGTATATATAATAATAATATAATACAATAATATCTGTAAAGTGCTTAGAGAAATCTTACGAAATGCCTTTCATGTAAGCAGCCCATTTTCTTTTTTTAGGACAGTGCATTTTCCCTCTAACTTTTTTCTGAAAGCCCCGCTGTAATCCATCGGGATTCATAGGGGACCCCAAGTTTGGCCTCCGTAAAACGCTATAGTCATTTTGACCCATGCTGCTTCAGATAGCAGATGATTTTGATTTGCAGCTTGACTAGACTGTTGGATGGTGCAAATCACAATTAAGCTTCCCAAGAGGAAGCTGCTTTCAAAGTCTCTTCACTTGAGAGTTAACTTTTCAGGCCTTCCAGCAGTAAGAGCCCAGGTGACTCCTGTGATGAATGCTACTTACAGAGTTCACAGCTGTGATTGCATCCTCTGCAACCACAGAAAAAGAACAAAGTTGATAAACTGCAGGCATTTGCTGGCAAACTTGGTCATGTACTTATCAACATCTATTTTTGTCCTGCGAAAAACTGTAACCGTGCTTATCTGTTGTAGAAATACCTTTTGCCATGTTGTACACGTAGGCCCAGACTGGAAAGCTGGCAGTGCAACATCTGGCCAGTGATTGAGATGTCATTCTGCACCTCACAGGCCACAGTTTGCTTCTGAAGATTGGAAATAGTTTTCAGAGCTGCCATGCATGCTGTGGGAAAGACTCTTATCTAAGGCCTAATTAAGTTCAGGCAGTCACATTGTATTAAATAAAATTGCACCAGCTTAAACTGGGGATTAGAGGATAAAATACATACTGTTAACTATAGTAAACCTGCACTTGTCCTTACAGGATAGCAGATAAGAGCATTGATTTCCAAAGAATGACCTGCTGTTCTTCTTCACTTCGACGCCTCTCTACACCATCATCAGTCTCAAAACCCTCATTTGTATTGACCACGCAGTGGATTTGGTATTGGAAGAATGACCAAGGCCAGTGGATTGAGTATGGAGAAAAGGTGAGTCCTGTGCTTTGAATAACTTCTAAAGAAATGTGTGGAGCCCTTTCTCCACCAGTCCCCTTTACTCAGTAAGGTTAATTAAGTAAGTACCTGTGGTTGAATTTTACAGTGTCAAGTAAGGCAGTGAAACTACAGATGTTCATAACAGATGTGTTAAAATGATGACAGGCTGGAGGGAACATGCCTTATCTCCTTGGAGTGAGGTTCCTTATGAACAGTTGTCTTTGTGTCTGAATGATTGGTTACAACTACTGTCCTGACAAAGACTTTGTTGGCAGTTGCAGGAAAGCAAAATTCCTTTTTTTTGGCTTGTGTAATCATACCAGTTTTGATGATGCATGCTAGCTTCTCTAGCCGGATTTCCTTTTGGAGGAGTCCCTGGCTTCTATGCAGATTTAACAGGCACACACTGTTCCTGAAATATATTGCCTTTTAAATTATTCAGGAAGTAGTCTTGTCTTTCCTCTAAGCATTGTCCTGCTTCCTTGGACACGCAAGGATTGCTATCCCCTCTCAGATCAAATGTTACCTTTTTCCTTGGATGGCCAAATCTTCTTTGAGAGAGTCATCTATCTGAAAAATGCAGGAAAATAAATAAATAAGGAACCCCTCCCTCCCCCAAGGCAGATGACTTTTCCCCGTCTGGTTTACAGTATAGCTGCACAAATGGCAGAAGACAAAGGTGATGCAGGGATGTGAAAAACTACACAGGGAAAGATGATGGATATAGTGGCTCTGGCAGGGGTGGGCCTTGATTTCAGCAGTCAGCTTAAATGGAAGGCGTCTCTATCAGTATACCCTCATATTTTACATTGTTTTGTACATTAGAGAATTATACTTTCATCATGGTTTAAACCTGGTGCCACAGAGTAGATTTAGAATCTGCGGACTGTATCAGTTCGTTGCAGGGGAGATTTTAGATCATTTAAAGAACCACTGCCAAAGGTAGCAGCAAAAGTAGTTTGGATATAATAATAATAATTCAAAGTTACCAATACAAAATCTTAGTATACAAGGTTATGCGTGATACCGGTCACTTACCAAGGATTTGCAGTTGGTAAGGGGTCTTTCAGCCTCAGGTAGTACCCTTGAGAGGTGTCTCAGCTCAAGAGAAGATCACTGCTGTGCAGCCCACTCCTTAGCAGGGAAACCTCAAAAAAAGCTTGCGCAGGCTGTCAGATTTATGGAATAAAGTGCTTGGCTCGTAGTCAAATTACATGTGATGGAAAAGGTAAGCATGAGACTCCTTGTACCCACAACTTTCTTTGTTGTTGACAAATTAGTCTTGGAAGAACCACCAGCTATTCATGTGTTAATCGCATGATCAGTGTTCCAGATTCCAAGCTTATATTGCATCAATGCTCACATGTCACCCTGTTCCTGTGTGGGTTTTCAGAGAACAGGTTGGAACTAGAGAAGTTCACGGCCCAGACATGGCCTTACTTCCTTTGGAGCCTGAACCAAACTGCTATCTAATTTGGTCAAGGAGTTGAGTGCATCCATCACACCTGGCTGGCAGCTAAGCCCCACACAGCCACTCGCTCACTCCCCCCTCCGTGGGATGGGGAGAGAATCAGAAGGTTAAAAGTGAGAAGACTTGTGGGTTGAGATAAAGATAGCTTCATCAGTAGAGCAAAAGCTGCACACACCAGCAAAGCAAAGCCAGGAATTAATTCACCACTCCTGATGGGCAGGCAGGTGCTCAGCCATCTCCAGGGCAGCCGGGATCCATCATGTGTGACGGTGACTTGGGAACACAAACGTCATCACTCTGAACGTGTCCCCCTTCCTCCTTCTTCCTCCAGCTTTTATTGGTGAGCATGACATGATATGGTGGGGGATGTCCCTGTGACCAGTTGGGGTCAGCTGTCCCAGCTGTGCCCCCTCCCAACTGCTTGTGCACCCCCAGCCTGCTCGCTGGCAGGGTGCTGTGAGGAGCAGAAAAGGCCTTGGCTCGCTCTGTAAGCACTGCTCAGCAATAACAAAAACATCTCTATTATCAAAACTGGTTTCAGCACAAGTCCAAAACACAGCACCACACAAGCTACTATGAAGAAATTTAACTCTATCAAAAACAGTACAACTTGTTACAGAAATTTAAATGGGATACATTGTTACTAATTATGTATTTGTGTGTATGTTATGAGTGTTTGGTAATCGCACTTTAGGCCATGATAGTTCTGGGTAGATTCTTCTTCAGCCTACTCTTTGCCTCTTTCCCTCCACACAAACTAGTTATCCAGGGTTTAGTCCTGACTGTGTTTACTGATTATTCTTCTCTCTCCATTTTTTTTTTCTTTTTTCCCCTTCAAAGGGAGAAGGGGATAGTGTGAACTCACCATCTTCTACTGTTATTGAGAATTTGTATCTAGCAGATCCAGATACCACCATATCTTTCCCGGCTGGCTTGTATTATTACGAGCTCAATTTTAAAGGTACCAATTTTAAAGGTTCTTATTTACAGCTATGCAGTGCTTTACAAAGACTAACTTGCAAGCTATCTCAGCTTTTAGAAGCTATGACTTCTTTTACTAACACTACCAGATTTATTCACTGGAAGGGGAAGTGAGGTAGTGATGGCCCCGAGGAAATTCCTTACAAAAGTAACCTTCCCCCTTATTCTTTGCCACTATCCTGACTCACACTGGACCAGAAATAAAAAGATTTGTAGTCTTCACATGAAGTCGTAGTAAAGCTTAAGTAAAGTGAATTAGCCCTGTGGATGGTAAAAATGAAAAATCAAGCATCTTCCTGTGCTGCTGGAGCAACATTTAAAGAGCACAAATGACTTAAGGGAGCAAGCAAGATAGGCACAGGTGCAGGAAGGAAAAGCAGCTTACATAGGCTTTGTGCAACTATTCTTCAGCAGATAGAATTGACAATTAATAATCATTTTCATTAATGAATGACTGTCATTAATTAATGACTCCACCTTGTAGATGTATTCATGACTTTTTCCTTCTCTTTTCTCCTCAAGAAATGATCCAGACAAACATCTCTTTTAAAACTCGAAGACAGGTCTGCAGGCGGCCAAAGTTTGTGTCTTCTGAAGATGTGCAGAAGATAAAGAAGGGGTAAATGATGTTCTTTAAGTTGTTGTTTTTTCATATTTCAGAAGTAATTACAAGGCAAAATGGCTGCCAGTACTGACAGTAATTGTTCAAACAACTCAGCTGTTACTAGGAGAAAACATATCCATTTGACTGAACAGAAACTGTATCACAAACCGCCGGCTTGGTGCATCAGCTGGTTTCTGGGGTACATCTTACTCCAGGTACCACATCCACAGGACTGGTGACGTATAGCTGTTTCTTAAAAAAGCAAGTGAAAGAAGACTGTGACAATTGAATGGCAGCATACAAAGCACAGCTCAGACTGAGATTGTTTCCCAGTTTCTTTGTGCTTTATTTTGTTTATTTTTAAATGTAAGAATGGGCCAAAGGGAATGCTGCCAATTTGAATGTTCAGAGCAGTACTAGAATTACTAACATCTTGTTTTCTGTCTGTTTGCAAACAGCCAGAGGGATTCTTCTATTCCAAATCAAGCCTGTCCTAACCACTGGGATCAATCGGCGCTGCCTGACTTAGGATACAAGGTATCTTTTTTTCTTTTTTTTTTTTTTTTTTTAATTCTCCTTTTGTAATTCTGATGGAAAGGCATGAGTCAAAGGAGGATGCTGCTTAAGTAAAGTAATTGTGACTGGGTAGATGCTAAAAAGGGACAGAATTGATTTCGTGGGTGGATGGGCTAAAGATCTACGGGATCTCCCAAGAGGTCCTGAAAAAGGTGCCAAATTCCCATAAACTTCATCTGCATTTTAGTCACCTATCTACATGGAAAACCAGAACTCACCAAATCCAAGACAAAAAGATTCACCGTTAAAAATTTTAAAATGGCTTTAGTAACTTAGTGGGCCAGTTAACCAAGGGACTTCATAGAAGTGTGTATTTCTTCACTAGAAGCTGGGCTGAGACCAAACCCTTTCTGTGTAGGCCATTAAAAAGCCATCCAATAATAACACCGTCATGGCTGCTGATGCATAAAGTTTGGACTGGAGGTCTGGGAAAAGAAATCTCTTTATGCTCTTTCAAGTCACCCAGTACTGTCACATACCTTAGATCTGAGCACAGACCATGGCCTCAAGGAATGGCAGAAATAGAGTTAAAGCCAATCGTATCAAAAAACATTTGCAGTGATCTCTTCAACAAAACAAACCAAACCACCATCAGCCCAAAGTCTATGTTCTTATTTGGTCTACCAAGACCAAAAATGTGCAGGTGTTTTTTAACTTGCTAGGTCTGATGGCATGAAGAAGCAGTCCTTCTGGAAGAGCAACACAGACTGGGGAAGTACTACAGTATGCTAGAAAGAAGGCTTTTTGGTGTTCTGCTTGTCCTTTTTCATAGTTGTTTTGACCCTCCTTAAGGAATAGCACATGATGTGGAGCAGGAGAGGTTTTCCTTGTTGACTGTGTCACAGAATCCTGTATGATGCTAATCAAGTTGTATTGGCTAGGAACAGGACAGAAGTGATACCGTATTTCCAGACTGGGAATTCTTTCTGGCCGGTTTCAGTTGACAGAGAGCTCCATTGCTATTCTCACTCTTTGTATTTTATTTTCCCTAGTGTAGTTACATTGGCAGTGGCATGAGAACCAAAAATATCATGTGTCTTTGCTTCTGTGGGCTGGTTTCTGTTATTCTGCTCTGTGCTGAATGTTTTCTTTCACCATGACTACCCTCTTGTGTTGGAGATTATGCCTTAGTCAATGTAACACTGCTATCCGGCCATGTGTGTATATAACAAATTCATCTAAATACAATTCTGATGAAAAATCAGTGGGTAAACTTTAAGTCAACTGCTCTGTACATTAGATCACTTCAAACAGCTGTTTTTCACAACTACCAAAAAACCCAAAGTTTTTCAAGATTGTACAAATGTCAGGTATCCAGCACCTGCTGAATGAACTAATACCAAGCTGTGTGGGAATCTGGCAGCCAGATCTTTTGAAGATTTGGGCCTGTGATATTTTGAGCTCTGTCAAAATAATAAAGGTTGTAGCTGATCAGCTCTTCCCTTGGTTTATCAGCAGCTTAACTGATTAACACAAGCTTAAATTTTTCAAAAGAATGCCAGGAAGACAGGTAGCTCAGTTCTTTTTAGGTCTCTGAGTTGTATGTACTTAACTGCTTCCCTTATTTACTCTGAAAACTTCAGTCTGAATTTTAGTTGTGTCCATTTGTTGGGGTGTTTCTGGAGTCACTGAGGTGAGTGTGTGAGAGGCTTTGGAATGCGATGTGCAGCTCTGTGGTACCATTGGTGGTACCTGTGGGGATGCGTGAAATAGAAGGATCATCTTGTTCCCCAGAGCTCAGTTTGCTTGCCAAGTTGGCCCCTAAGAAAACCATCCCTTAACTTGTAATCTGCGTGTCTTTCATAGGAAAGGAAAAGTTAATTTTGTACCTAAAAAGTGACAAAGCCCACAGCACCTGTTGGTGCTAAAAGTGAAAGCCTGGGCTAGGTTAAATATTTCTGTGGGACTTTAAGATTGTTTTTTTGCAGTAGGTAATATTGGGACTGGCTGGGATTCTGGATGCATGTGGTGACCATTGTAAGATCTGACAGTTACAACTTGATGAATTCCCTTCTCTTCAGACATTGACAGAATAACCCTGGCAATATTTGCTTCGCTGGAAGTGATCAATTGTAAAAAGGAACTCCTATATTGATAGGGAAAAAGTAATCTTTGCTTAAAAAGAGCAGCTCTGTTTTGGTAGTGTAGCTTATTTTTTGAGTGTTGCAGTGTCTTAACCTGTAAGTTGTTTAGAATCATAGTTCTATAAAAGGTAGAGTGTATGAAATGCACGATGGAAATTGGTAACACCAATAGGAAAGTTAGTGTGAATTTCTTCTGTCTTTCTTTGACAGACAAAGTGGAATTAGCAGTTGGTAAACCTTTTAAAGGCATAAAAAATAATTGATATTGTCTTGGAACTTCATGCTGGGTTTTAAATTGTATCTTTAATAAACAACGGATGAATGCCTGTAATGAATGTGTGGGTTTATGTCAGAGGATTAGTCTTTGTGTGGCTGCAGTGCTGCTGAATCCTGACACGCATGCCAAGGACTGCTGTGCTATAACAGGGATGGGAGCTCATGCAACCTGAAGAGTCTCTCTGTGTACTTTATAGACACTCATTCTAGTTGGGTCACTGTCACTAATACACACTATGCTGCTTCCAAGACCCAAGTTAACCAGAGATCAAGGTTTGATATCACAAAGTACTGTCCTTGTGCATTCATACGCTAATGGGAATTACTGTCAGGGCAGTGATTCTTTCTCTGCCTCGGAAACTCCACTCCTTGATAGTGGGTCAGCAAATGCTTACGCTTTCCAGGAATTTCCTTTTTAGGTCTGCAGATGGAAGGAGATAAAGAAGTTTTGTTGTTATGAAGTATCAACCTGCAATAGAAATGTGATGTTCCCCTTTATTAGCAAGAGGAGCGTCCTTAGGGAAATAAAGACAACCCCACCAAGTTTTCCTGCAAAAGAGAACTGTCCTTTGAGGCCATTGTATGATAAAATAACTGAAGTACCTTTCTTACAGGATTAGGCCTTGTACCACGTGGCTGACCCTCTGTTTTACCCAGAAAAGCTACAGTTCCTCAGTAAAAGATGCAACAAAGCAAAAGGATATTTGTAGTCTAAATACGAATTGTTTATGTATAAGTAAAATACATAGTACTGAAATACAGTGACATAACTTTTGTCTTGTAGGGGATGGTGAGCAACTTGAGCTGAGCTGTCACAGAGCATGCAGATAATAAATGCTCACCCATCCAAATTGTTTTATGTGTTATAAAGAAGCTTTGGAAAAATACTCTTGTATTAAGACATGGGAAATTTAATTCAACCTTGTAAAAACTGTTTAATAAATAATTTGTTGCTTATTAAAGAATTAAAGAATATTTAAGAAATAATTCTTCCTTGTGTATCTGACTATTCTTAATCCTTAGAAGACTTTCCTATGATAGGCCTCTTCGTTAGTAAGTACTTAATGCACAAGCTGGACATGGTGTCCAGAGAAACACTTCTTTATGCAGCTGTGAAATATTAGTCCTATTTTATCTCTTCTCTGAACTCAGCCTTCTAGAATGTGGAGCTTTTGCCTGACAGGTTAAGATGTTGATTTCATATTACCTCCTAGGATGACTGCAGCTTTCCTGCTTAAAACATAACTTTGATATGTGGGATATTGGGCATTTCACTTCAAGTCATCTTGAGTTCCCACTTGGCTGAGGCAGTGGTAAAGTGGAAAGTATCACCAGGTGACATCAGTCTGCCAGCATTATGCATTTTCAGTCAAGTTTATGGAAGATAAGTGTTTATTCGGGAAGACTGAAGACACAGATGACTTTGGAGAAAAAATGTAAACTTTATACATGATGTAAGCAAGCAGAAGAGCTTAAATCATGTTTTAATTATATCTTGCATTAACTTTTCATTAGGAAAAAATATGCATTTCTTGATGGATTTTTAAACGTAAAAAGTATGGATAGACTTTGTTTCCATTAGGAAAGGAGGAGGTGTATTTTCTTAAGCAGGTATTTAGTGTAACATTCCTATTAGAATCTGAATTGTTCTCATGTTTAGAAATGCAGCTTTTTTTCTTCAGTGTATATTTAAGCGCAACTTTCCAAGTTTTAACTTTGAAAAGTTAAGGAGCTGTGATGCTGAAAGGTTGTATGTATTTTGTTTGTTTCATCTTTAATAGCTGAAGCTCCCTTAAATGTCTGGTTACAAATGATACTGTTACCTATTTAATCTGGAATAATCAGTCAAGTTTTCTTTTTGAAATTTCTGTTTCGTTGAGATTTAAAGTTACAAGTGTCAACTCTTATTGGAGATGATAAACATTTAATTGATCTTTTTGCCTTCAGCATCCTTCCTGAAGAGAGGTGAGGTGTCCTTGCAAAGCAGGAGTGACATACTGATTTACATATTAAGTGTCTGTCCTAATTATTCACATAGTCATGATCTAAAGCATTAAATTAACCTTTGTAAGTATAATTTGGGGTCCCTTCTGAAAGTGTATCTGCTGTCATTAGGCTTCTGCATGTTACTAGCTAACTGAAGCCTCATGTCATCTTTTGCTTTGGTTTATATTTTATAGGCAGTGGAGGTCAGTAGTACAACCTCTGAATACAACAGAATAAAGCATCTGTTTCATCAGACTATGAAAAACTACAAGATCCTTAAAATACAGAGGATTCAGAATCCATCCCTCTGGAAAGTGTTTCAGTGGTTAGTATTTGTTTCCTCATCCTTATGCGGAGGGAGTCTCCAAGAGCTGGTGTCCTGTATCTACTTCCTAGGAAAGAAAAGACATTAACTCCTGTGCTTTAACATGACTGGTATTTCCTCCTTAGGGCCAGTTTCAGGAGTGAAATTGAGTGTCTGAGGCCCTCCAGAGAATGCCATGCTCCTGGGGGGAGGTTCCCTTTGCATGGATCCCTGGAAGATTAGGGAAGGAGTATGGACAGAACGACATGAACGATGCAAAACCGGGATGTGGAGTAGTGTATTGTCTCAGGGGTTGCACTGTAACTGCCTGCTGCACATGTGATCCTTCTGTTACAGATGTTTTTCCATCAGAGTATATGAAATAATTGCTAGAGAAGTGGGCAAGGGTAAAAGGGTACTTGGGTCTGTTTTTTCCAGACAGATTTATTTAAGGCTTTCTCAAGAGTTTGAGTACCCTTGCTGAATGAAGTCAGTATTCACTGAGGAAGAATCCTTGTGCTTTCACTTAATCACTTCTGAGATCCAGAGCTCCTTTCTGGTTTTCAGCGCCTGCATCAGTGATGCTGAACTCCAGGTACTTCTGCCAAGCTCGATACCTACAGATTTGAGCTGGTGCTAGTGACAATAAACAGCCATGTTCAAGTTAATTTGGTAGCAGATTAAGCTGTTGCATAGAACAGTTGTCTAGCTTAAAACAAAAGCACAGATACTTAACAGAAGTATTCAAGGACGGTATGGAATGGTAACGGAGAAGAAAAATACTGCTCAAATAAGTACTTTCACCTGCAAAGTGACTGAACCCAGGAAGTTACCAGCTAATAATTTCATGGAGCTTTTTCATCTAGCAAATCTTTAAGGCACTTCAAAACATGTAATACTGCATACTTTTTATCCTCCTCCAATGAGATAATGAGGCTGACCAGGCAGAGTTTAACATCGCCAGGTTCTCAATGAATGAATTTCAGTCCATTGCTCTTAACTTTTCATTTACATAAGTTACAAGTTGGAAGGATCCTGCCCTCTCCCTGGCTCTGTTTATTTTGTAGCTGATCACTCCCAGAAGAATATTACTGTTTTGTCAGCTTCAATAGCTTCTGAAAACCTGTGGGATGTCTGGATGCTGTGAAAAAGCGAGGGGAGATACTACTTGAGCCTTCTGTTGTGATTCCTCTTTTGGTACTGGTCATGGCTCAGTCTGACTCGGGCCTAAATCAGTAAGGTCTTCAGTGGTGCAAGAAGGTTCAGTTTCTCTCCTCCTGGCTCTGTCGTCTCACATGCCCCGATCTCGCTGCGGGGCAGGAGCTCAGGGTGTTTGGTGGTTTGAGTTCACTCAGGGAATGAAGAACAAGCTGCCTCAAGCTTTTACCCACCGCTGGAGCGCGGGGGCTCTGTGGTTAGTACTGCCTCTGCCCCACAGAGTTTGGGAGTGGGAAGGGACAAGAGACACTAAAGCAGAACTAGTAGGACCCTAGAAAGGAGCAAAAGGTTGGTACAGCAGGGACTGTAATAGTGTCACTGTTTACTTAAATTCACTGAAGAAAGCCAGAATTACCTAGAATTGCTGGGCAATAGTATCAGTATATTGCTCATCTTGTAATTGTCCATCATACTGCTAGTCTGTCTCATCTTCCAAGCTGAGAGGAGAAAGCAGACTGGAAATCTCATCCAACTGATGCTTACATGTATACTATATAATTTTTTTAAAAAAATATTTCTCCCTTTTCTTCCGTGGCTCACACTCCTCCCCTGCATTTCTCCGTTAGGCAAAAGGAGCAGATGAAAAGGGAAAATGGAGGGAAGGAAGTAAATGAAAAGCTCCTGTTCCATGGAACCAAGACGTCCTTTGTGGAAGCCATCTGTGTTCACAACTTTGACTGGAGAATTTGTGGAAGCAATGGAACTAACTATGGAAAGGGTACGTAGGAAGTGATTCCATGTTAGACGTCTGCTTAGACTCCCCTGATACTAGAGCAATCCAAGTTTTGAAGTCTTTAACTATAGGGGGTGGAGAAAAGAGGTCTGAATTGGTATTATGATCTTCCTTCCCTCTGGAGAGGGCAAGGACTTGCTTTAACGAGGGGTAAGTCTTTTCACAAGGCGTTAAGAGAATGAATGTAGGGATTTGAAAAGCCTCTGCTGCTGTAGGTGGGATCTTCTGAAGGTTCAAGGTCATAATTTGAACTTGTGAGAGAAATGGCTACTAGTCTTCATGGCAGGGAGCAAGAAGAGTGTGCATTCCCTCAGTGTGATTGTGGAAGGTCCTCATGTTTTCTTGTCCATCCTTCTCATCATATTGCACATACCTGTAGTGTTTTTTAAAAGTTGTTCCTAAAATAGCAAATCCTGAATGGAAATTCTGTGGTGAAATCCCTGCTCTTGTAAAAATTTCTATGATATTATGTAAACTGACTAAGAGAAGACCTGAAAGTTGGGTCAAATACCTCCTGAAAAGCTCCGTTTTCACTGTCACTTTATACGTATTCCTTATAACCATGTTTTCATATCATTTTCTAGGAAGCTACTTTGCTAGAGATGCTTCCTACTCCCATAGATACTGTCAGCCTGCGGTGAAAACAAACATCATGTTTGTGGCTCGTGTATTGGTTGGAGAGTATGTGAAAGGCTGCACAACCTACGTTCGTCCCCCAGCAAAGTCTATTGATGGGCTTCGGTTTTATGACAGCTGTGTGGACAACGAGTTAAATCCCTCCATTTTTGTTGTCTTTGAAAAATACCAGATATACCCAGAGTATAAAATAGAGTATAAAGAGGAAGAAGAAAAATGTCTTGTATCTTAGAGGAATCAGAGCTGTCTGTATTCCTCATCTTGTTTTCCGTATTGCAGGTATTCTCATACTTAGTGACTTCGTTCTTCTTAATACAATCATTTGGAATGTTAATCCAAAGAATTCCTGTATTGAGGAGGGTTTGCAAAACAGATGTTGTACTTGTTGAGACTAGTTGCCTTGTCTTCTCCTCTTCTTCTCTTAAATGAAGCGTAGACATTTAGATAACCGTAGCAGAAAAAATCAGAATCATGGGATGGGAAATCGAATGTTATGACTTCTGTGGACAAATAATTATAAATGCATTTCCTTAGAAATACAGTTGAGAAGATTTCTCTTTGCAAACTGTTCAGTTAAGAGATAAATTAACAGTACAGTAGTTTTTAAGCAAACTTTGAGGTTTTTAGTAGTCAAAGATTCTTTTTAGTGCAGAATACGGCTGTTACTGATCCTCTCATCTACCACAATTCTAAACAAGTCAGCGTATGTAAGAATGACTTGACTTAGTTTTCGAAGTGCAGCTTGTTAATGCTGATACTAATTTCAAGTTTAAAATGGTAAAATGAGGAAATGAAAAGCTTATTTTAAATCGGTTGTAAGTTCTCGAGTGGAGAAGTTTCATCTGTACAATGGCAGGTACCGTTTGGATCAGAAAACTGTTGGATCGAATTCTTTTTGCAGATCTGCAGTAACTTGCTGCATGACCTCTACGAAATAGAGCTCAAGTGAACTGTGAAAGTCACAACCTATGAATAAGCAGGTACTAAAATTTGGCAGTTTGGCTGCAACTAATGGCCGTAAGTATTTACAGGCTGTGTCACAAGTGAATGTGGCCACGTATTTTCTCAATGTGAACATTTGCTTAGCAAATGCTAAGGGACAGAAGAAACATCTCTAGAAGCATTGATATTTTCTGTCCTACTTTTATACGTTAATTTTCGTTCTTCCAGAAATATGACATGACTGGAAGAGATCAGTTATGTTCTCTCGAGGCCAGTGGTAGAACTGCTGTCCTAAGACACTTTGTAAACGTGTTTTGTTGCCCACATTGCCTTGGGCAACTCACTGAGAACTCACAAATGTAGTTCCTCTTCGTGTTTTGAGGTCGCTGTGCGTGATCCTGGATACTGCTTCCCTGGGTCAGTTTTTTGATACACTTGCCTTGTCTTTGTCAGTGATGTACAACCCTACTAACAGTGGTTAAGCCCTTTTTTTTTAGTGAGTTCCATGCTTTTTATTGTCCCAAAAAGAAAATACAGAAACTTAAGAGTTCCTATTTCTAATGAATTTTAGTATGGAATTTGTAAGTTAATCGAACAGAAGACCCTCTGTACAAAGATGTCTTACTCAGGCAGTCTAGTTGTTGAGGGAAACTGTTGCTGAGGACAGAGGAGCAGTAATTTTTGCTTTCAGATAAGCTTTACAGTAACACAAATAGCCTCCCAGTTATTTTTATTGCCGATACTAACCTGTGAACCACATGTACTACTCGAAGTTTGCAAGTTACCAAGAGGACGAGGAAAATATATAAAAACTAGGACATCTTATTAAAATTACTGTCTTAGAATTAAATGAAAACATGCATCAGTAATGCATTAAAAGGGGACCATTTTATCACTTCTTAAGATCTCGCTCACTTTTGTTTGCCTGTAGAGTTCCTGAATCATTGACTTTTACCATATTTACAAATAAAATATGTTTTCACTCACTTTTTGCTTACTAGTGTGTAGTTTCTCTCCATACGTAAACTCACGGCACAACTAAACAGACCTGGTGAAATAGACACTTAATACATGTGCTCAGTGTCTTCCCTCCATCTGTGTTTCTGAACCGGGGAACTGCACGGATGTCGTTTCGCATTTTAGCGCAGACGCTTAGCTAAGTGTGAAGGCTAGAATACAGTCTGATTCATGGAGAATATTAAGTGAACTTCCTGACTAAGATACCCTTAATATGAAATGCTGTGGTAGTTTGGATGGATTCCATGTAATTAAACAGCTGCTCTGAGCAATTGTCAGAGTCCTAAAAAAAGGGGAAGGAGTAAGGTGAAGTAGTAGCAGAACTACTGGTTTTAATATGTAGAAGTATTCAGGTATTGACTTGTCCTAAGGATGTATTGTTTTTAATACCTAGATAAGTAACTTTTAAGGAATCTGAACTAAGCACCTATAAGACATGGTGCTGCACCTCCCGCCCATCCCTCCAAGCTGCAAGACAGGCAAGTATATGGAGAATGCCAGCGAGGTGCTGACAATTCGCAGTCAGGCCAAATGACAGAATCTACAGGAAGAACAAGGGAAGAAACAGGAGCTCCAGTGCCCTGCTTCACGTGGTCAGAACTGCACTTGCACAGGTCTGGCGAGAAATGCTGGCGGGTGGGAGCAGCTCTCTCTCCTGCACAGGATTTTGGCTATTTAATCAGTGGCAGGGCTGGACTGTAGACGAGAGCTGCTCTGGGGAAGGAAGGAAGACAAGAACTTCAGGCTGGGTAACTGACCTGGAGAGGGAAGAAAGCCAGAAAAAACATCCTTTGAATGCAGGAGGATGGAGCACAAAGAAAAAATGGTTCTTCCACCTAGTGGCAGCTCAGCCTTTTCCTAACTGATGGCAAGAACAACCCCTTGGCAGAGAAATGCCGCGCTTGCCACAGGCTGACAGGAATCCTTTGAGCTTGGAATGAGGCACAGCGTGAGAGGAGAGCCCCAAGGCCTCGTGTGGCAGCTGCGTAGCCACTGGGCTGAATTACGGGTCCAGCTGGTGCTGCAACAAACCAGCTGCAAGGTAAGCCCAAATCAAAGCGTGCTTTCATGAGAACCGACAGAATTTTGGAGGTAATTCTTTTCCATTCCTAGTGACTCTGAGCAGCAACCCTAGCTGCCTTTTCCTGGCGATGCTAGCGCTGCCTATTGAGACTGCCACTGCGGGCCACGCTTTTGTCTGAAATAGCCTGCATGTGACAACAGCCCTTTGATTTGTCACTGCTGGTGCTCTTCTTGGATTTCTGGATTGGCTACAAGCAGGTTATTGACTGCCCTCTTGTATCTGCCTCATTCACTAGTCTTATATCATAATCTGATTAATGGCTTTCAGGGAATTCAATAGGTACAGAACACGCCTGTTCAGAAGAGGCTAAAAATGCACTTACTAAGGGCACATTCTGTGTTTAATTCAGTAACTTCACCTTTTAGGCATGGCATTACAGGGGCTATTCATGAGCACTGATACTGCTGCTCTTGACTCCGGGATGCCTTCTTTTGAAGGGAATAACTGCTTCTCATGTTTCAAGACACAGAAAGAGTTTAGAGAATAGCACCACAGAATGTGTTATGAACAGCACCACAATGAATTTTTTTATTTTAAAAAAATCTTAATAAGTTTGCATTTTACTTCTGAATATAACTTCCCCCCACCGTCTACCCCTGTGAGCTGGGGTGCCAACCAGCTAGTTTGCTTACAATGATGTATGGGCCAGATGCAATCCTAGCAGTCAGCTTCTGTTAGTCGTGTCTCCTCCCTCCACTCCACCCCAAATCCTTCAGGTATTAAAAGGGAGAGTGTCTTGAGGTACCTGTGAAAGGGAATGCTGTGAGCACAGTTCCCTAGCCCCTGCAAGGCTCTGGGGGCTCTTCCTCCCTGGCACCTTGAAGCCTCTGCAAAAAAAGCTGCTACATTGGCAACAGCTCTGAAGAAGTAAAAGCTGTGAATGTGCAGCCCTCCAACACAGCTGCTCTTTGGGTTCTTAATCTCAAAGACAAGGCAGCTGCAAGTGGGACTCTGCAAGACAAATGCAATGCCATTTTCCAGGACAAAGACTTGAGGCTATGGAATAAGCCCGTTCACTGCTGCAGAGTGTCACGGCCTGTGACTGTACACAGGTAGGTACAACATCTTCTTGAAAGGTCGTGGTCAGTCGTTATGCACAGGGAGAAGTTAAAGCAGCTGCCTGTCACTTGCAGAGGTTCCTGCAGCTGACTGGGACCTTTATTTTGTATTTGCAAAGATCTATATGTGCGCCTTTATCAGGAAAACATGGGTTGAAAACTTCTTTAGAAAGACGTGCTTCACCCTGGGTTATTAAATCAGGTTTTGATTTGCAAACAAAACAAACAAAGAAAAGACTCAAAACCAATGTACCCGCTATGATGGTTGTGATAGCCCTGATGCTGTGACATGCTTTCTCTCCCAACAAACCCAAGAAGCTGTGCTTGGAGGGCCTGGGGGTGGAGGGGCAAGGCCTTAGATGCCGGGTGACAGCTGTGCTTTCACAGCAGCCTCCCATACCTGCCACCAGCCATCACAGGAGGTTTTATAGTTCAACAGTACCAACAGTCTAAGCCAGCCGGGTCTTTAACGTGGGTCCTAAAAGCCCCTGAAGCAAAGACTTCCTGAAGAACCTTTTGGTTCAGCTTGCTTGACCTTAAGGGAATTGCTACAAGTAACTGCAGTAGCAGGTGTGGCAGACAGTGAAGTCCAGCAGAACATCACCAGCTCCCTGTTTCGCTGCACCGAGCTACAAGAAGCAGCTGTAAAGGTAACTGAGCCAATGGTGTGTGCGGTCCCGACCCAGACAACTAAACAAGCAGTTCAGAAAAGGCTTGTGCAGTGGGGGTATTGCCCCTGCAGCCACTCTGGGGATCATGCTAAAATACCATGAGAGTTAAAAGTAGATGTTTCCTGGTGTAACGGTGGCAGGGGGTTACTGCCCAGGCTCAAGGGCTAGTACCTCTGCCTCTCTCAATCCAGAAAAAGAAGTGTGTGCCACAGAGGCTGAGGGACAGGGCCTGCTAGCCTTAATGGCTGTGGCAGACAGAACAAAAGCAAAGATGGGGCTGTGTTTGTACTTGCAGAACCTGTGCAAAACCAGGATCTCTCTTGTAAGCAGCAGATCTTCATATAAAGTTTGTATCAACTGCTCTGCCTAGATAGAAAAAAGTGAACTTACAGGAGTCAGCATGATCCTTGGGCAAGTTCTTCCTCTCCTGTTGTTCTTCCCACTGAGCCACCTGCTTGTTAATTATTTTCCCTATTGACAACTGAAAATGAGTCAGCATAACATGGTGAAACAAGACAGAATGATTTGGCTATTTTAAATAAAAATGAGGTGAAGATAAGGCAGAAAACCAGAAGTTCTCATTTATGGGCAAAATGTGCAGTACTAGTTGAATGCAAAAGCTTCTAGTCACATTCATGGAAGCAAAGAGGATGCATATGGTTACAGGGTTATGAAATTCAGCCATTATAAATAACCCATTTAAAAGCCTCATATAAAGAAGTCATACACTTGATCTCAACTGAGCACATCTTTAAATTTATTGATGTAAAGCAGAAAGAAAAATCACATTATATCAAAAGTACTACAAATGTAATTCTGAAATCTGTGTAGCAATGGATCACATAAACCACACACTTCATAAACAGCCAGCAGATTTCTCAGTTTTTTTTCCCTAGTAACATTTATTATATTCCTTGAGTAAAAAAGTATGTGTCTAAAGTCATTGCTTGAAATGCACTGATTAAAAATAATAATAAAAATCTGGCTCACTCTGTGCTAAAGTTATGACAGTCACAGCTGGACAGATAAATTGATGGAGCTGAAGAACAGGGAACTAGGACTGTCTGCATGATTCAAAAGGCAAGGATGCAATACCCTTACCTGGTTTTGCAAATTATCATTGATTTAAAAATAAACTATTTTTCCCTCAAGTGATGGCTGGGGGAAGAAGGGTGGCAACGAGGCACTTTTCCATGTCTTACTCCTCCACGCAGGAGCTGCAGGGGCAGCACAGGGCCAGTTATGAAAGTGCTTTTTTAGGTCAAAAAGAAACTGTGTGTGGGGCTGGGGCTGCTGTGGGACGTGGGGAAGAGGCAGAGCTGGGCAGGAAGGAGGGGCAGGCACGTGTGTGTCCAGGAGAGCTTGCAGATGTGATACCAAATGCAGAGCTCGGGTGGTTGAAGAGTGGGGCATTTCTAGTAGTGAAGGAGAGAGGCAGCATTAGCTCAGCTTTGGTTTGAAGTATCACCTTTCCCTTCATTGGGCATTTCAGGATTACTGTGCGAGCTCTGCTATGCTGCAGGGATCCGGAGGCACCAGAACTTCACCGAGGTACATGGCTCGTATTGTGCCTCATTTCCAGCACCAAAGCTTCACTTCTCACACGTGTCACATCACTTGTGCTGGGACAAAGCTTTGTGCCAGTTCCCCTTAGCTCTCTTTCTGTGGCAGAAGCTCCCTTCCAGTCTCTACCAGCTCTGAGATACCTCGATGAAGTGCACGTTTTAACATTGGTTTTAAACTCTACTTTGCTGACATGTAGGAACTCATGCTATTGGGATGGTAGTATGTCCTGACTTTCCAAAAGCTCAGGTGAGCACAAAGACTCCAGTCCAAACTGCCATTGAGATGGTACTGGTTTAGCTGAAATCCAGGCTTTTTTTTTTTTTTTTTTTTTTTTTCCTGAAAGACTTAAAAGTCCCAAGGGAGCACTCGTATTAGAATAGACGCAGTCAACTATTATGCCTCTTGCCTGGTTTCATTCACGTAGTAATTTCAGAAAGCTCTGAGGTGCTATATTGAAAATAAGAGGTTTAACATTTAGGTGCTATATTGAAAATAAAAGGTTTAACATTTTATAGGGGGAGTTTAAAAATATGCACCTGGAAAGAGATCCTGAATGCAGACAGATCTGTAATGCCAGAGTCTGTGACTCATGCCCAAATGGACTGGAAGCTTGATATGGAATTCAGTTGATGCCTGTATTGGCTCTGGCCCCCTACGTTCCTATTAGTTATGTTTAAAAAGTCCATTTGAATTACCTGAGCAATTAACTGATTATTTAACATATTAATGAAGTAACAAGTTGGGCCAACAAATGACTGAAATTCAGGCACTGTTACTCCACTGTATATAATCAGGGTCAGAGGGAACTTTCAGAAAAATATACCAGAAAAGCAGTGCCCCAGGAAGCTCTAGAAAGCTGTGCGTTAGCACCAGGTTATCTTCTTCCTTCTTGTGGAATCGTCTAAGGTACAACCTCTTGAAACACAACAGCTCTGTATTTTAAGAGAACTGTTGTCAGATCTCTGACTTACCTACCGTGAATCTCTAGCATGGTTTACAGCATAGCACCCCTCCACTCCCTGCACCCAGACTTTGATTGGTAAGCTTATTGCTCTTTCAGCTGAAGCACAGATGAAAGGTTTTTATGCCATTGAATGAACGGCTGCTGCCTTCCTAATAAGTCGCTCCGTCATTGGTGAATTTGGTCTCATCACATCCCGTTCTCTCAGGAGGCACCTGAGAAAGGAGAAGAGGCAGGAGAGAAACACGAAGGTCATGAGTATATCCGTTTTCCTGTGAGATCACCAACAAGATCCTTGTAAGAGGAGGAAGACAGTACGTAAGGACCTGCTCTTGAGGTGCAGATTTCCCTTATTGGAAACATCTGGCCCAGCAGTAAGTTTAGGCAGAACAGCATTGCTCTCAACACTGACAGAAACTGAAAATGAGCACCCAGAGATCAGGGGGCACAGAAGAATCATTTTGATATTGTACCTAATTTTTATGTTTCAAGGAAACCTCAGGAGGGAAACAGTCAAGGTTTCGTATTTTCCCAAGGAGCCACTATTTTAAGTGCACAGGCAGACCCAGCCACTACAACAGAACTCGGTACGGGTGAATAAGCAGCAGCTACGATTTCACCAAACAAGGCTCTTGTGATCTGTACTACAGCAAGCTCACGTATCAGACTCTGCAAGTCTTGTTTCCCAATAAAGCAGATGTCATCACTAGGACAGGTTTGATTTTCAGCAGTTCACAGGAGTCCATTACGTACACTGATCAACAGGCAGGAGGCCACATTTTAAGACAGAACCATTTGAAAATCAACTGTCCTTGAACAAATACAGATCATTCACCCAGACCACGAGAGTGTACTTTTGGATTGGAAGCTATTATTGCACCTTTTATCCTAGTTAAATGTTGCTACATTTAACACAAACGCTCACATATAATTTTAGCCTTCATTTATTGGTTTGAGTATACTTGCTAATTCTTGCTTTTAGTAACACTACTACTTCAACAAATATTGATCAGAAGTACTCTCACCTTGCAAGGTTTTGTTTGGCTTGTGATTTAGAATTTAAAGCAGCATGAATCAGTAACTGGCTGAAAACATCCCTCTGAAAAAAGAAGTCAGCAAAAATACAAAGTCAGAAGTAGCTTATAAAGCATTGCTGGTTACAATACCTTGTTTACCAAATTATTAAAACCACTGAGGAAGGAAACGTATCAACAAGAAAAATCAAATAGCTAACACTGCTAGTAAGTGTAAATGGGATTCAGTCACAATCAGAGTTTAGCTTTTCACTTTATAAGAATTAAGTGTTAACAAAGTGCCTAATGGAGGCTACTAAAAGAGGATTAAGTCACATCAGAAAGTCTCTTATTGATTTCCTTTACCTGCGCATTACTGCCTCCCAGTTGGATTAGCTGATAACGGATTGGGTACAGCAGGTCTACAGCTTTGTCACAATTTCCCTTTTCGAACTCTACAAAAGCCTGGCACAGAGGCAACCCCAGACTAGGAGCCAGGGAAAGCTCATGGTCTTCACAAGGTGCTCTGTAGAATGAGAAAGTGGTTAACTCCCACAAGTCAAATTATAAATATGCATATTTCAGTGCTAGTCTGTCACTGCCTGCAGACAGATTTTTTTTATTATTATTTATTTAACTGTAAAAAAGCCTAATGTTTCATTTATTTTTTTTAGAGAGTATCTTTTGGTGTGATTATGTTGCTTTCACCTTTTTGTTACTCATCGATCAACCAGTTTTCATTCTGAATATATCCACAAAAGGCACGAGCCCAACCCCTCCTGCCTTTGCAATAAACAGTTTTGGCTAGAAAAGTGAAAAAAATGCAGTTTCTCTTCTGATAATCTCACCAGAACATCCTACTGCTAGTTCTTTAACTGCCCTCACCCCTGCCAAAAGTGGCAATCAGTCCCTTGCAGACAGCTCCAAATAATAATCTTGCAAACCAGCTCACCGCACAGCCCAGTGCCTCGCTGCCTTTGTAATATTTTTGTATTCCCAGTGACAGCTCTCAAAGTCTGCTCTTTTTTTCTAACCATGACAGAACAGCTAGCTCTTCAGTTACTACTTCTTTTCTAGGGCATGTATCCTAACCCATCTAAGAGTGGAAGAGGCATACTGCATGATAATACGCCTGCAGACAACATATACGTTTTAGCAGGCGTCCTTACCAATATTAAAAAAAAAAAAAAAAAAAAGTAAAAACACGAGTAACCGAAGTGTGGCTCTTTGGTCTGTAGACAATACCTCTGCAGGACAACGTGGAATTGTGTTTTTCCACTGCTACAGAAGCAGCTGACAGGGATCAGGCTTTGGAGGTAGTGCCACTTCAGTGCCAAAGGTTGGCTGGCAATACGAGGGGAGGAGGGCTTTCTATCCCAAGCAATATAAATGACTCCTGAGCATACAGCGCAAGGTTCAATTCCATACATTCTATCCATTGTTTAGAACAGATTTTTCTGTAAATTTTCCAATTAAATCTTTAACACTACCTCTGTTTTGAGTGCTTGCAATGACAGCCGAGAGTCACACTCCTGCACTAGTACCTTAAATTTACCAAACCCAGAGCATACTCTGTGCTCTCCTCCTTGAGTCAGTATTACAAATTTCCCATTTCTTCCACTAGGTCCATGTTGATTTTTCAGTATGCAGTGTTGCCCTACGTGTTTATCATTCCTTAAGCAAAATATGGCATCCTGGAAAGTTAGAAGTGCACAATGGGTGTGCATTTCAAGTAAGCAGATTGACTTTAACAATTAAAATGATGAAACAATTCTTCATCTAAACATTCGTTCCAGCTCTCTGAGAAAACACACAGGAATGGAAGCTGATTTTCATTTTCCTTTCTCTTGCAACTGCTCTGAAGTATTGATTCACATGAAGAACAACATAGCCCCTGCGTTAACTAGCACTTCCATCCATGAAAATAAGCATGTGATACCAACCACCAGAGAGCGCCATGGAAGGCTTTACAAAATAAATTCTTGTCAACTTTAAATCACAAAAGCTAAGGAAAAATATTAATGAAAAGCCAAGCATGACTGCTGTTTGTGCCGAAGTTTTATGACTGCTTTTTTAACACGTACAAAATGCATCTTAGCTAGCATTTAGCTATTACGTATTTGTGATACACATAAATTAATCCATTCATTAATACAATCCCTTCATTTTACAGTCTGTTTTCTCAAACAATAAAATTAAGCTTTATAATACTGCAAACTACAGCTAAAAATGTACAGCTGTATTACTACAGAAGGCTGAACACACAGGCAAAAGGAAGCACTGGGTGAAAGGATGTGTACCATATGTTCATTAAAGCTTCCCTAAAGTGGTGTGCATGTGCTATTTTATATACTTACATATATTTATATACTTATATAAAAGATATTTGCCATTTCCTACTTTAGTCAAATCAGACATGCTTAGGCTTGATTTGACAGTTATTTGTTTTCATAGGTATTCCTAAAAAATACATTTCTTTTTTATTATTTTTGATTCATGGGTATTACAGTCAGGAACAAATAGTGAAAATTTCAGGTTCTCTTTCCTTCTTTTTCAAGGCAAGGGAAGCAATAAGTGCTGAAACAGAGGAAAAACAGGGTGTGGGGGAAGTAAATTGCATTTGAAGCATCTATGTATCAACCCCTCAAAAAAAAAGCAATTTACAGTTATTTAATACATAAGGGAACACAAAAAAACCATTCTTTAGATGAAATACTTAAATATTCAAAATTTTCAGATAATTTAATTTGAAAGGAAAACATACTCTATTATTACTCTAGCAGTACTTTAAATACAACTTCCTGCAGAGGTACTTCACAGCACATCAGACAGTAGCTATTAGAATATCACTACCAGGTAACGCTCTATTATTAAAGAACCTTTTAAACCAGCGCAAAAAAGAATCACCATAGAGAGCCGACATATATTGTAGGATGCCCTTACTAATATGCAGGTGACATACTTTATTCACTGTACATAACATGCTTAGTGTCAATCCACTGAAAGGAATTATATACAGCAATTGTTCAGTTATTGTCCATGACCCCAAACATAAGAGATTTCTGCTTAACAAGATCAGAAACCCCTCTAGATGTTAACTCAAAAAAGAAATAATTATAGGAATCTCCTAACTGGAGATTTGCCTATTTAAACCAGGCATGTCCCAGTGACATGCTAAAGCAGAGGAGAGTATGTTGTAGTGCTTCGGCAAGCCAGAGGCATTATCACCTTAAAGTTCAGAGGACAAAATATTTATTGAATTGAATACTTTAATTCACTTGCTTACTTGGCAAGTTCCTGAAGAGTCGTTAAAAGCTCATCAGTAGTTTTGTGGTCTTTGGCTCCAAGTGAGGACATCAAGATGTGCACATCATTGAACAGAAGGATGTGATCTCTGGTGTGCTTCTTTGTAAGCTTGAGAACATTGTTCCACCTGTCTCCAAGCTTTACACCTAAGAGTAAAAAATATTTTTCTCAATAAAAATACCATATGCAAAAAAGCATGACTCTGCCATACACCTGCAGTCACCCAGGATAAACAGCATTCCTATTAAACTCAAGAAAACATTCCCTGATGTGGCAAAATTTATACAGCAATGCTCAGCTGCAGCCTGCAGTATTTGGGCAAAGAGTTTACTGACTGTCAGTAATTCATCACCAATATTCTAGATCGCTTTACATGAGGTTCTGGCTTTATTATGAGATTGCTCATGTCTCCCTGGAGATGATGCTCACAATTAGTCATCTGTAGCAATCAAAAACCAGAGTGGTAAGATGCATTTCATAAACAAACCCAGTGCATCATTAGTGTTTTAGAAGAATACTGTAAAAATAATGCCCATCCCTTGTTGCCCCCCCTTCGTGAACTCTAGTGTATAAACACAAGCTTAAAAAAGTTAAGGAGAAATGCCAGTGAGTTGAGAGAGTATACAAAAGCCAGAGGCTAATACACATGTACTAGCTATTTCAATCCGTAGCAAAACAAAGTATATAACTTGAAATTTACTTCAAGGAAGGTCTGCAGCTTTTTAGAGGCTTATGCACTTCATTGTTCAGCCTCAAATCTCCAGGGACAACAGAAGTGAATTTGTCAAAAAAGAAGTAGGTGACCTATGCTAGCTTGAGTTGAATGAAATACCATCCTGGCATGGGGAAAAAAAAAAAAAAAAAAAAGCTCTTGGGAAGAATAAAGGTTATGGACATTATTATGAGTTTCATATTGGAGGCTTTTCTCAAGAGCAGAACAGAAGATTTCTTTCGTAACACTGACCAAGCTTGCTATATATGTATATTTAAATACTTCTCCAACATGCAAGGCGGGGGAAGGGGGGAGGCAACAAGAAAACTGTTCCCCTTACAGTTTTAAAAAAGGATGGCAGGTGGATACCCTACCTTCCAGGTGAAGCCTGTAGAGCATCGAACAGTTATCTACTACATCCAGCATGCTTCCACTTGACAGACACCGGGGAGCAATCTGTAATCACAGGTATTCATAAGCTGCCTGACTTCTGTGCCAGTGGGAACTTACTCAGATAATCAAACTTATTTTCACAGCAGAGAATTAATTTTACCTTTTTTATTCATTCAAAAATACCTGTTTTGCAATAGCCCTAATTGCATCTTTCCTGAATACAGCAATTTGCAATGACAAACACACTGCTTCATTTGTGGTGTTCTCCCTGTCATGAAGTTAAACTCAGTAAGTATGGAGAGTCAGAAAAGTATTTTATTTTTTTCCAAAATAGTGCCATAATTATTATTTCACTTTGCTGAGGTTAGTGGACAGGAGTCTGCCCAGCAGCTTTCTTAATGCTTTCATTAGTTTCATAATCCTTACAAAGATATGTTATCCTATCTAATTTGATATCGCTTATTTACAAAGATTGTGTTGAAACCCAGACAGTAAAGAACTATAACAAATTAACTAGGAATGAAAATACATGATTCTGGGGACTTAGTGCCTAGCATGCAAAATCAGTTATTTGTACAGGTAACTTGACTTTATAGAAAAAAATACTTTGCATTCTTTTAAAAAGCATGAATAAGAAACACAGACAGAATGGAAAATGGTACCAGCAGTGCCACTGTAGCTCTTTCAAGCACAAGTGTAAGAAACACTTGAACTATGTAACACACAAGACTTCTGGGCATTTTACCCGAAAGCACTGAGGAAGTTTCCCTAAAAAACTGTAACAGCAGGTGTAAATAATATATATGCATATATAGCACACTGTGATAGGTTTCAATCCCATACAGAAAAAAGGAAGAAAGCACATATTGTGGTCTTAAGCATGTTCTCAGTAAAGAAAAAAAGGTCCCTACTCACATGATTGTCATAAATTGTCAAAGCGGCCTCATATTCACCCTGTAAAATCAAATGAAGACTGCATGGTTAACGCTCAGATAGAGTAACCAAAAGTGACTGATAGTAACCAAAGACATACATACAGCATATGTTTCAGTCATAGATACCATAATATTACTTCACAACTGCCTCCTGACTTGATCAAAATAAACCGAGTCAAGGAAACCTTGAGGTATTAAAAGAATGGAGCCTAAAATAAACCAGGATTTACTAGGCAAAATAATCAGTATGTTTAGGTTTCATTTCATCAGAGGTACCAATACTGGTATAAGTGACACATGAAGGAGAAATACAAGGTGTTGCCTCTCATTCTAATGTTCCTTTCGGGGATTTTTGCAAAAATTAGTGCATCCCATGGCATATGCAAAGAGTTAGGAAGAAAAAGAATTCTAAGGAGACTACAAAAAAGTTGTATAAATAGAGGGTGGCAAAATAAAGAAGCTATTCGAGTACTATTGAGAATTATGCTCCTTCTATGTAAATAGTACTGAACACACGCAAGTTACTCTGTTTTCTGACAGAAGTACACTGCCTTCCCAGTGATGGCACATTTATCTCCTTAATGAACTGAACCCCAAAAGTACCAAGCATCATTAAATCCAAAGAGATTCTGCACTGCAATCTGACAGGTTGGGTAAAATTAGAACAATTTTTAAACGGTTTCAATAACAAGAATTAGTAACAATAATGATTAATAACATTGGTGACCAAATTTAGAGCTTACTGTCTCTTTCTTATCATCAGCAAATTTTGGGGCCAGCAAATTATTGAATTTGAAGAGAATTTTCTTAATTTTTGACTGAAAATTAGAGATCCAAATTCATCTTTCTATCAAATAACTGCCAAGTATGATTAGTGAGACTATTTGATCTTCAAACATGCAATAGTCTCACAGCAATTTTTCAACATTCTAACAAAGATCCTGGAACCTTCACCAATGTAATTAAAACTTCTGAAAATAATTGTAAAAAAAGGACTAGCTTGTAAAAACGGCATTATGCTGTTTTATAAAAACATCCCTTTAAATAGCTGAAAAAAACCTACAGATGTTAGGTCTGCCTTTTAAACAGCATTAGCTGAATTATCTGGACCGTAAAACACTTGTATGAAAATATCACATACCTTTTCAATAAAGTATAAAGCCCAGTGCCAGTAATTGTGGCAAGCAAGCATATCACTGTTCTGGGGAAAAAAAAAAAAAAAAAAAAAAAAAAGAAGAGAAAGTATTATTTACAAAATAACTTTCCATTGAAACATACCTACTCAGATTTCCGTTTCCTTCTTCAGCAAAACTGAGTATTTAATGAGACAGAAGAGACAAGAACTTTAAATCAGCTGGGCAGGATACCTTCTCATTTGACACATCTGTCACTGCAGCTATTCAGGGAGACACCTCAAAAACAAGGTATCCCCCATGTCATTTTCCAGAGAATAATTTCACTTGGATGCCTCAGAATTCACCCTTCTGCAGCACATTTTTCTTCCTTAGCAAAAACCCCCACATCTAGAACAAGAGTAAGATTTGACTCATCTAAAATGTAGGTGTCTTGCCTAAAGTAACCTGGATAGATAGTGGAGAGGGATACCCACCTTACGAGGGCCCTTCATCCCACCTATTTAGACACCCATCTCAGACAGAGGGGAATCACTTCTTAAACATATGTTTTACTACAGACGAGAGGAGCTGCACTGGATACCAAACACAGTGGCAGTTCATCAGATGAGATGAATCTTTGCTGGCCTGTACCAACTTTGCACTGTCCTCTTCAGCTGGCACCAGAACTTCAAATACTCCTCCCTAGCCTGCACTACAAGCCAATGTCATTGCAGTTCATTTTTATGACTGCATTGAGAATAGACAAACAGGAATATAATTCCATAATCCTTTGGTGAAAATTAAAATACCAGAAAGGTTCAGCCCTCTCCTCACGTTCTCCCCCAGTGCTGCAGTTAATGTTCTGACAAAAGGAAAAAGCATCTTCATTTTCATGGTGACAACTGTAACACCCACTTTCAGGCAGCACAAAGGTTTCCAGTGAATGTCAGAGCTTTATGGTGTTAAGCTAAACATTCTAGTAACCTTTACTTGTTTAATATTAAATCACAAACCAAACCCGAGCAACTGAAGTGTTAACTGCCTGCCACAAACTTGGTAATATCAAGTTTAATATCATACTACCATTTCAAATGTCATACAAACAAGAACATGGGATTAACTCACTAAATAAAACAAAACCTCTTTCATGCTGCTGATTTTGAGTTCTGAATGAGATTAAATTGCTGAAGGAGAAGTGGCCTTGTAAAATAAATAAATAAAAGCAGGCTGTGGGAACTCACCACAACAGCTTAGGAGAAAAACCACTGCCATTTAATAATAAACAGCACTAGCAGAGAGGGAGAGGTCCTCTCTGGCAAGATAATTTGCCCCTTTTGATTTTTTTCTGAAATATACATAAAAAACAAATGGCATCTGATTTCTGGGGGGGGGGGGGGGGGGAGGGGAATGCAGGGGAAAGCGCCTGGAAGAATAAATAAAATAAAATACTCTGTAAAGAAAACCTGTACAAAATCTTTGCCCCTCTTATTGGGAAGGAAGGAGATTAATTGAAAGCAACAGAAAGAGCCTGAATACTGTGGAGATACAAATAGATAATCCTGGTCATTAAAAGAAAACAAATAAAAATTTCAAATCACCAGGCCAAATACAAGCAATCTTAATAAAGCCCTTCAAGAGACCTGCTTTTTCTTCAGGTGCTTACAGTTTAACACTGTGTTCATGATGTTTAAGATGAAAAATACTGCACAGAAAAAGTGATTATACACATTATCATTATGACAATGTCAGCTGTTACAGATCTTAACTATACTGGGTCAGGCACAAAGGTACATTAGACAATTCTACTTACTGATCTTGCACTTTATTTTATTTGAATAAAGGCTATGAGTCACAGAGGCATGCAACTATTTTAAGAAACAGAGTTCAAAAATAGATCCAAAAGTCACTGATTGGGGGTTTTTAAGGCATCACCCAAACTGTCAGTCCCCTGCATCACTGTTTCATTAAAAATAATATATTAAAGGACAAAATGCTCTTTGGGAAATGACAGCTAGGAACCTCAAGCAAGGGCTTTCTGCCTGCACTTCCGAGCTCAATATCTGAATGCTTAACTTAAAAAAAAGTGCAAAATAAACACTCCTAGTCTCATTATCCAGCTCTGCTCTTTGTCTGAGGTGGACTGGTCAGCTCAGGTGACTCTAAAATAGACTCTTGTGGGTTCTAACAAACTCAAACCTCACAGCCTTCTGCTCGGAATATAACATACTTAATCACTGGGAAAACACATGCTGTTCAACACAAATAAAAATTAAGCTTCACTTACAGCAAAGAACCATATGACAGACTAATTAACCTGTTCGGTACTGTGAGAGATACTAAAATATGCTGGATATATAAAGTAACTTTAGTACACTAGAAAAGAGACAAAAGCATCATTGCTCTTTCCTTTACAGTTGACCTTTAAAAATCCTTCCCAGTCCAGAAGCAAACAAACAGGTCAGGAGTCTTCTAAAACATTTGATTTGACTGTGTCATTTCACACGTCACCTTAGGTTTCTGTGAAGAGATTTAACCAGGTTCCTTGACTGACTCTCAGTGCTCATCTCAGTCCAAGCAAAAAGCTTGTGAAAATACCAGTGGTAGTGGTCATTTTACTTTTATAAAACACAAAATAAATCACATCTGAATAAATCAAAATTTTCACATCTGGTGTTTCACCTGTCTGCAATGGCCACATCTTTATGAGATGTAAAATACCTTTTTCCTGGTGGAGGTGATTAGAAGCTACGTGCACACACACAAACCACACATAGTTGTTGAAAAGAAGTATTTACTACAACATTCCTAGCTAAAATAAGGCAGTGTGAGAGGACAGACTTCGTGTGAATCCTGGCCTATTGACAAGTTTGCCATGTCTGTAATCTCAGCAGCCATAGTAATGATGATTTAAAGCACTCCACAGTATGTGTCCCTCATAATATACCATTTTTTCCTGCCCCTTGCTTCAAAAGTAGCATTGGATAGTAACAGCACCTCAAGTGATGGTTTCTTCTCATACGTAAACTTTGTATTGCTTGTAACACATCAGCAGAAAGGAAGGAATTGCATGCAGAGGAATCAAGAATTTGGCTGAAGGAGATAAAGAAGACCTAGAAGAAGCTTTTTCAGAGATGCTACAAGAATGTTTACCTTCCAGTTGGTTTCCGTTTCCTTCATGAATTCTAACCCTTTCTTCACCTCTGCTTTCATTTCATTTATGTGAGCTACAGTATGAACAGACCATGCATCTGTCTGATTTATAGCCAAAGCCTGTGAGTGAAAAAAGGGAAAATGAGATGAAGCTTACAAACTTGCAAATAACGTTATTTATCACTGCTGATACAGAAACAATAGACTAATTTTTATTTGTTGCATGTTAAGTACATCCCTGTACCATTCCAACTAACCACAGCCAGGCAGAAAAGGAAGAAAATGTTTATTGGCTGAGTTCACTTCCCAGCTTCTACTGCATAGAGATGAACACCTGCAAACCACTTTAAAATGCAGGGTTTGATGAAGATTATCAAACTACATTTTATTTCACAGACATGCATCAGTATCAGCCATGAAAGAATTGCATGCACAGGCACAATATATTCCATGACACAGTGCCTTGCAGGTAATCATTTCTTCTTCAACAACACGGCCAGCCCTAAGTATTCAGCATATTTCTCTTTCTTGCTCCAACAACTCCCACTGGGTTTTAAGCATTTTGTGAGGTTAGTCATTAACCCAGTAAATGTTAAATGTTAACGTTTAGTCTTTGTTGTCACTTTCAGCAATTTGATGTAACAGAAATTTGGAAAAAAAAAAACCATTAGAGATTAATTATATCTGAGACTCCTGGAGGACAGGCATAATCCTAAAGACTGGAGAAAGTCAAGTATAATTAGTGTCTTCATAAAAAGGAAGCAGGCCAGCTAATATTGATCCACAGGAACATTGTACAGTTAATTGTTCAATAATCCAGAAACAGGCACCTGGGAAAAAAGGGAGGGGGAAGCCAAACAGGATGGATTGTCAAGAGCACATTACACCAAACTAATCCAACATTCTTTAATAGGAGCAAAGAGCCAATTACACGAGGGAAACAGCTGATGGGATAATATATGAATTTTATAGGGGTATTCTGACACAGGCATGATCATAAGCAAGTGAAGGAAATACAGTCAAGATGAAACTGCCATGGTATGGCATAAATGTGGGAATCTTTCTAAGGAATAGTTAGCAATAGTCTCTTATGAAACTGTGAGCATTTCCCTGTTGAGCCTTATCTCTTTGCTACCTCTACTAACAACTGCGATGATGGAGAAAGTTAGTTCATGGCACCCACACAAACCACCACCCAGAGATAGAGACTGTGTTTAAGAACTCTAAAACCTTTTAGCACCAATAGCAGGCAGTTTACCTCATGGGCAAGCTCCTCAGCACGATCAAAAAAGTTTGTTTCCATGAGTCCAAAAGAGTAGTAGCCCTTCACGTAGCTAAGCAAAAGGGGAAAAAACAGCACATCATCCCTTTAGAGCTACATTTAATCTAGGACTGAAAATTGTATTAGAAGTAACATTTAATTCAAAACAGTCCTTACAATGTAAGTTACAAGGAGGGTGCAGGCTTGCAGAATACAGAACAACTAAGTAGATCTCAGAGCAAATGAGAGGCCCAGAGACACCAACATGGGAAACAGTAACAAGATGCACAACACCAGTGTTTTGAGAACTGCCATTTACATCTTCAGATAAACTGGAATTAAGAGTTGCACAGAACAATCTGCTGATCTCCATAACAGTTGCAGGATGCAGAAGTAGAAGGTCGGAAGCAAGCCAGTGCTGTCACCAAAGTTATCTGAGTGTCCTGAAAGCAATACATGAGCCTAGCCTTCTGCACTTTCCCCAGCACCACAAAACTACAGGAGAGTTCTTTTATGTGAAGTGGTCCCTTAAAACTGGTTGTAAAGCATCCCCATAAAGCCATAAAGGCCCAACATAAAGGAAAATTAGGGCTGTTATATGCTTTTACAAACATATCTGATGCAGTAATTTTAAGAAATATTTAACAGTGCTATTGTATTTGCAGAGTCATAGATTGCAAAATACAACAGAATGTTTCTGCTCCTCAAAATACCTGTTGGGATTTTGGTTTTAAACTCCTAAGGCAAAGGAACTACTAAAACATGTGGGGTATGTTGCAACTGATTTATGTCATGGATCCAGATGAATAAAAGTTGATTTTATTTTTTTTTTTTTGCCAATATATCAATTCACATGCAACTCTATATGCCTCTAAGTTTGAGGACAAGGGGTACTTGCCAGGTTTTCATACTTCAAGAAATGTTTGGCATATCTTGGTTGTTTCCTGTTGTTTTACAGTTAAGTGGACAACAACCTGCACTTTTGTAGCATGGTGTCTAGAAAAGTTTCTAAAAATGCAGGCAAAACTGCTAAGTTGTCTTACTTTCCCAGCAAACGAAACCGGAATATTGTAGCTAAAAAGAACTAAGGGTTTTAGACTTTTCTGAGTTGAGGTAACACAGCTGGAAAAACGATACTCCTGACACTACTTTTCTGTGCCATGAGATTGCAGCGTACTCAGTTAGCTGCTTTATTATGTTAGCATTCAGTCTGTATTCTCTGCACTGCTTGTGGAAGAAAAACAAAGGAGGCAAGATTGTGCTGGATAAGGAGGTACACAGTGCACTGGTGTACAGCAACGTTCATAAAATACTCAGAAAGTTATGGTTGTCTGTGGATCATCTATTCATCTATCTCTATGTCTTATAATTTAATGTTAATTTTTACATAAAGTTAAAAGCTTTCAAATAATTTAACAGGTCTTAAAAATAATTTAAAAAAAACAGTTTTTATTAACCATTCACTTGTCAATAGATTCAGACTACCCTGAATTAACTTTGGGAAACTGAAACTTTCAGGACTGAACTAAAGAAATGTTTAAAAATTCTGCCTTCCTGTCAGTCTTTGCTGCACCAGCTGTTATGGTATATCCCAAAGTTTTATTTCAGAACCACACTTTGGTGTTGCACATTACAACTCATTTCTTCCTTCCACTGACGTGCTCTATCACGCACAGTGTGAGCCTCAAGTGAGTAACTGGACACATAAAAGCCTGAAGAAGTTTTGCCACTGCCCTCCCTCACTGAGCACATGATTTTATCCTTTGTATTTTTGTTCTGTGTGTTATGTGTCATGTGCTATATTTGACAGCAAAATTTACTAATTGAGCCACGTCTCACTTAAGAAAAAACCCTCAACAACAGTGGCAAGAGGGATACAGGAGAGATGTTTTGGCTGTGGTCAGGTTTGATTCACTTCTAAGCCCTTGATTTTGTCTACATGTCTGTTTCCAACAGATCCTGTTATTTAGATGTGTCTGAACTTAAACCCATGAAGTACAGGCACACCAGATAAACAGCAATTTTCAAAATGAAGTATGACCCACCTGCTTAGTGGCACATCAGGTGTCCAGAAAGGATAAACCCTGGCAACAGAATCTCGCATCTGTATATGATGTCCCAGGTAGAAATAAGTGTCCTGGGAAAATTTGAGGGCTAGCAGGTCAGTTGGGTGGCTCTGAAGAATCTGTTCCCATAGATCACAAGCTTTCGGAAGCTGGCTAAAAATAAAAAAAAAATATTCTGATTGCTGAGAGAAGGCACGCATAACTGCCTCTACTGTTAGTTCTGAATTTATGCTATTCTGAAAAATAGAAAATTCAATATCAAATGACTTTTTTTCCTTGAAGCAATTTCTTAGTCTTTTTTGAAGTAATAACGGCATTATCTTCACCAAGCACCTTTTGGGAAATCTTTTGAAAGAAATGTCCTTGGGTTACAAGAGGTCACTGTAACATACAAGGAAAATTAAACAAGCTTAAACCATGAATCTAAAAGTTTTTCTACAAGGTTAAACAGTTTTTACAGGGACCTAACATAATTAATCTAACTTCACATGCACAAAGACACCTTCCCTCTCGTCTAATGGGAATCAAACCCATAGTAACAGGGCTTCAGTAGCTTCCTCTTTACCTTTGCTAAGAAATACGTGAGGTAAATCCATGCTCACCTGTTTGCTTGACAAACAAATCATAAGTGAATCATTATCCCATACTTTCTGCAGCACACATAAATTCATCATATTGAATGGAACAGTGAACCTCTACAGCACTTCTGACACTGCTATCTCCCTGTTTTACAGGGGAAATAGTTTTTGACACAGGGAGACAACAGCGAGAAGAAAAGTCTGTTTGTAGCTTTGCTTCTGTGGATCTGAGTCTGTGTTCTATTATATTGGACCTTACTGTAGCCAAATATTTAGTTTCCTAGTTCTAAACCCTATAGTCCACTGATGGATCTATGACAGATTTAAAACATGGAGTGCTTAATGATATGAAGCAGTGGCAATAGACCACTTTCCCTCCTATGGTGCTGCTCACTATCTAGTCACAGCACTTACAGTTTGGAGAGATAAATTCAAGAACAATCACTGACATCTCACCCTGACCCTTTGCTAGATGTCAGCTAATGTCAGGCAACACTGCTACCAACTATCGCTTCCACCCGTGGTAGCTAAAGCTCTTCACAGTCCTTTAAGTGGGATGACAGTGGACTTACCCCCTGGCAAACATGTCCAATGCTGACACATGAAGCTTCTCCCGCTCAGTCAGGGGCTGTGATTTTGAAAGCGTCGTCATCGTTCTCATCGCACTGTCCAGTTCTTTGTTGAGCCGCACTGAACTTCCAGTGCCAATCAACTCCAAACCATTAGCAATGACATGTCCCATTGCTACAGAAAACAGCGCATTACAAGTTGAGCTGTACAGCATTACATTCATTTCTACAGAAATACGAGGGGGAGTTGTTTATTTTAAACGAGACTGACTTGTAGTCACAGGGGGTCCAGAAAGTCTCGTAAGCCTGAAGTTAGAGGCTTTTCATGACAGCTGTTTAAAAAGACTTGAAAAAAAAAAAAAAAAAAAAACACAAAACCATCCCAGCTTGCTCTAGTTTCTGAAGAAGTTTTACAGAATTCTATTAAGCTGCCACCTTTCCCTTGCATAAACAAAGCAAGTTAAACACCAAGACACCAGGTATTACCAAGTACTTTCCATGCTAAAAATTAAAGATTATACTCACTAAACTTTGGATCTGCTGCTTTTAACTTGGAGAGACATCCCTCAATACCTCCAAGGCTCTCATTATTGGTCCAAGTTGCATACTGTGAAAGAGAGAGAGAGAGAGTCGAGAATGCCTGATGATATTGGGCTTCTTTTCATTCTCCTAGGTGTTTAAAGTTCAAAAGTAAGCAAGGCAAATGACTAAAAGACCAACTTTGCATGCAGATAGAGTTAGCACAGTAGGAAAACAGAAAAACTGTTTTCTTTAATGTAGTTTAGCTACCAGCAGAACTAAAACACGTGGATTTCTGTGTGGTTTCTGTCAACTGGTTGATTCTCCAGTGTCAAGTAGGATGAGCACACTGGCTGAGGTTTTCCCCACAGCTGCAGCACCCAGCATAGCCGTCTGCTACACGGGTTTTTGGCTGCCAGCTAATGGCTGAACTCCTGACTGTGAGGTGCTCTCAGCAGATAAATTTAAACACCAACTACAGCAAAGACTGTTTCATACATGAGTCCCTTCAAGTCACATTTTCTTACACTTCTCAGTCATACCTGGGTCAGCACAGCGTCAAATAGTTTACAGGCTTCATTGCTAGTCGTGGACAGAACAAGTCCAGCATCCTCCCAGGCCTGCACAACAAACAAATACAAACCCACTCATTTTAGACACTTGTTTTTGAGACTATGCTTTTTTTAATAAATAAATTTAAACAAAAGCTGAAAGGACAATGCAAGCAGACACACACAAACCTTTTGTGCAGTTGTAGTTACATCTGAAGACTCAATTCATTAGGGTTAGCAGTGGGAATAAAGAAGCAAAAATTACAAAGTATAATAGAAAATCTTGATGAGTTACGCATCTCATAACAAGACACCCATTCTTAATTCATTACAACTCAACTTTTGACTAGTCCCCCTGCTGAAGACACACTTCATGTGAAGTGGAGACATGGTAAAATAAACCCCTGCCTTTTTGTAAGTTAAACCAATACCTTAAGTAACTTGCAGGTCAAACAGCCTGGCAGAGCAAATCCACCAATTTGCTGGAGTTAAGCTACCAAAGAATTTGGACCACAGACTTGTTCATAGGCCTTACAAAAAGGAAGAACATGGGCATTTGATAAAGCTAAAATGCAAAGCAGAATCAGGCTGCCATAGTTTCCTAACAAGCTATGTAACACTGCCTGAGGTGCTACATCTCCTGGCTTGCTGCTGCAGAATTAAAAGTGTTCATTAGGCAGAAGTGCAGTTCACTTAATGGCGGAGTTAAGCTGCAGCAGCTATAGCACCCTGGTTCATGATTGTGACTTCAGTAACTCAGGCAACAAAATGAAAAATCCAATGTCTATTTCAAAATGCTTAACTTATTCATGTGTCTACAGCAAACAGGCATGTAATCCCTAGTTGCTTGCAGGCCTTCTTACCTACACAGGATGGCCACATAACCACACTGTCACCTCACAAGCTGAGGTGCTTCCCTTGGCAACCTACTCAGATATTTTTAAATAAAGTTTGGGTTTATTTCTAATAATCACTCTCCATTCAGCATTCTTATACTGCACCCATCATTGCCCTTAAGACTGTAAACGTCTCAAGCTAGGATAATTTTCTTCATAGTAGCTTGTATGATGCTGTGTTTTGGACTTGTGCCGAGAACAGTGTTGGTAATACAGGGATGTTTTCCTCATGGCTGAGCAGTGCTTACACAGAGCCAAGGCCTTTTCTGCTCCTCACAGCACCCCGCCAGCCAGCAGGCTGGGGGTGCACAAGCAGTTGGGAGGGGGCACAGCTGGGACAGCTGACCCCAACTGGTCACAGGGATATTCCACACCATATGATGTTGTGCTCGGCATATAAATCTGGGGAAAGGGGGGCACATTTGGAGTTATGGCATTTGTATTCCCAAGTAACCATTACGTGTGATGGAACCCGGCTTTCCCGGGCACGGCTGAGCACCCGCCTGCCCGTGGGAAGATATGAATGAATTCCTGGGTTCGCTTTGCATGTACATGCATCTTTTGCTTTACCTATTAAACTGTCTTTATCCCAACCCACAAATTTTCTCACTTTCACTATTCTGATTCTCTTTCCCATCCCACTGCAGGGGGGCTGAGCAAGTGGCTGGGTGGTGCTTAGTTGCTGCCTGGGGTTAAACCAGGACACAAGCACAGACTTACATTCAGCACACCATATACATTCCTGTTTAAGCATACACACATTTGAGGAGCTGCCCAATCACTTCAGCACCATTTTTATTCCGGTACATAGAATGTACAGGATAGACATAAAAAAAGACCTGGGGCAAGCCAATTCAGACTCCTTCTAATGGAGGATTAGTCCTTGTGGATGCTGCAAGAACTCAGCTCGTCTTATTTTACACTTTAATGTATTTCCTCATTCTAATGACCCAACTGTCAAAAATATTAAGCAAGCAGGGAAAGACATCTATGTTAATATATCCTAAAGCCTTCCCACTGTGATTGGATTAAAGGCTCACATTCCAGCAGCTCAGTTACTTGAGTGTTCAAATTGCAAGCCTGAAAGACTAGACCTGAATATAAAATTACAAGTTTTCTTCACAACTCATACTATATCCAGAAACAGCGTCAAGAAAAAAAGTCAAGAGGGTGGCAAGGTTAGGCCCGCTACTTACAGGCCACCTTTCAAGGTGCCCTGCAAAATAGGCCAGGAACCACTCTCATCACCAGTCATCAAAAACAAGCTCCGTTTCAAGCAACTCTCTTTGCCACTGGTCATTTTGCACAACAGCTTGAAGTACTTGCCAAGTAGAAAATGTCATCCCATTTTGAAGAGATCTGTTGCTGAAAGTCATAGGAATGAAAACGTCTGTGTGTAAGCATCAGAAAAAAAAAGCAGAACTAGGGTTAGTAAAAAAAGGCCTACATCCATCACTAAGGTCACTGCTGATCTAGTTGAGGTACGTGCTATTTTTATCCTCTCTAGAAAGCCTCCACTCTGCGAAGGGTACAGCCCACATAACACACTCCTCACTGGAAGACTCCCACTCCAGCAACAGGAGGATGGCAGCAAGGCTGCATCACATCACATATGTCGCTACTCTTCTTGGTAGTGCACCAGGACAACAGGCTGCAAGGAAGAACCACACCATAATAGCTGCTGACTCAAAAGAGACATAAAAGATCTGCTCCAAACCTAATCTGTTGTTGTCAACCAAGAACCAAAGACCTACAGGGAGCACAGAAGACCCAGCACCTCTTGTCCTCTGGGTCGTGCACAAGTGGTCCTGCTCAGACTATTTGAGACGCATGTCTCGGTGCTCGTCTGTACTCAGGTATCAGACTGTGTCTAAAGAAACCTATGAGAGAGGGAGTTGAGTAGGTAAAAATCAGCCTGGGCCATTTGTAAAACAGTTATCACCTCCCTTTCCCACAGAGGCTGCCTTTGAGTTCTGTTACACTAACTTCCCACAACCTTCCTCTCCAACTCCAGAGGAGACTCTTCTCTGCGATGCCTCTTGGAGGAGAGCACCATGGCCTTGGCTCTTACTGCTCCTTGGCAAGACCAAAGCCTTGCCCTTTCTCCTGCTTTAAGATAAGAGTTCAGTCACGGGATCTGGTGACTGTTTATTTGCACTTCTTTTTCCCTGCTAGAATCCCAGCTGGCTCTGAGAAATCTGCTCTTTGCGGGTTGCTACTAGCACATCCTCTATTACTCAAGTGGCAGCTCTCCAGAGCTCTGGTGCTTAGGCACCTATGACCCTTTTGGAAGATCTTCAAGACTTCTTTTTTTACACACACACACACACACCCCCACCTAATTAACCAAAAAACAACAGCAAAAGGAGCGACAGAGATCATGAACTTTGTCAGGAAGAAAGCATGCAAATGACTAATCAGTAACTAGCTCCTGCTGACAGATTTTGAACCCTTGGACTTGAAGTTAGTTTTGAGTTAAAAGAAGGCCTGACCCACTTTTGAGGCCCACCGAAAGGGCAGGTGAGCACCTGTGGGACCGGTCTGCACTACGAACAAGACCCAGCGACAGCCAGACACGGCTGTGCTTCCCCGGCGGGAGGGAAGGGTGCAGCGACCCGTCCCCATTTTCAGATCCCAGCAGCAGCCTCACCCCGCCCGAAATCCACCCCGAGCGCGGGGTTACCGGGGGGTTAAGGGAGATGAGCCCCAACAGCGGGGCTGCCCCTCCGCGCCCTTCCGTCAGCCGCAGCCGGGCCCGGAGGGGAGGGCACCGCCCGGCCCGGGGCGCCCGGCAGGAGCAGGGGCCGCGGAGCGGCGGGACCACGCTCGGTCGCTGCGGCGGGGCCGGGCGCCTCAGACCGTCCCGTCCCGCCCCGCCTCACGGCTGCCCTCACCTTGCAGTCCCTCAGCGGCGCCATGATCCCCCACGGCGGCTCCGCGCCTCCCGGCCCTGCGGCAGGAGGAGGAGGAGGAGGAGGAGGAGGAGGAGGAGGAGGAGGAGGAGGAGGAGGAGGAGGAGCCGGTGCCGGGCCAGCAGTGGGCGGTGCGTGGCTAGCAGTGGGGGGGCCGGGCCAGCAGTGGGCGGTGCGGTCGGCCCGTTGGCAGCGGCTCCCCGTCGACCGCCCGTGTCACTGAGGGGGACCGCGGTCCTGCCGACGGATGTGTTTCGTGTGGATTACCGGCCCCACAAATAGCTGTTTCTTGTGGCTTCGGGTATACCCACCCGCGATCTGCTGTTTCTAAAGTTCAATAACTTTCTTCCAGCTGTGCCGGGGAGGAGGACCAGGCACTCTGTTCTCCGTGGAGTCCATCTTCAGCAGTTGGGACTCCCCAACTGTCAGCCACCATCAGTCACGCTCCAGGGACTGTGCTCCCTCCTCTCCTCCGCCTCATACCGCGATGACAGCACTCCATCTGCTCGTCCTTCAGCTGCTCAGCTGCTGGCCGTGGGGTTCAGGGGCCTCCTCGCCCCGTCTCCAGCCGCCACCCCTGCTGGTCACCTGCCGGGGCCCTCACGGACAAGTCTCTCCACGGCAGGACAGCGAGCGCAGGGCCTTGTGCCTATGGAACAGCACCATGAACCTGCGTTACCAGCCCGCCCCAGGAGCAAGACCAGAGGCAGAGAGGAAAGAGGAGCAGCCGCCACCCCCACCTCGCTGCCTCTGGTACCTGAACTCGGCCTGGGTGAGGAACACCTCGCGCTGGTCAGGCCAGGTCGTGCTGCAGACAGGCCTCCCACCAGGAAGCACTCCTCCACCCATGGCCTCCAGCCTCCTTACAGTGCAGTGCTCATCTGCTTCCTGCGCTGCACCCCGGTGCTTTCACCACAATGTGAGCATCGAGATGTTGGGGCAGGATATGCGGCTGTTCGTGCTTTGGCCACAGACACACCTGATCCATGTGTGGCAGCCAGTAGAGCTGGGCTGGTGTGCACGCTTCAAGAGTGCCAGCTGGCAGTACCGCTTCAAGAGCCAGGGAGGCAGCCCTTCTACCTTTCTCCTTCCCAGCAGTGAGCACCAAGACACGCCACCACTTATCTACCCAACAGCCGAGTTGCAACAGACCTGTGCCACCTACTACAGCTACCGCTTGACTGTGCGCTACAGGCACCACGGGCTCCACGTTGCTTCGGTCAGCATCGAGCAGATGCCTCAGATAAGCCTCAGCCTCTCTCTCAAGGTAGAAAAGGACTTGCTGCATGTCCTCAGCATTGCCTCCAAGCTCCTTAGCATTCCTCAACAGCCCCTCAGACTCTCCTGGAGGCTTCAGCCCCTTACACCAAGGACACTGGCCTACAGACTGGTGGATACGCAGGCTGTAGGGGGCTGGCTCCGTTCCTACAGTTCCTTTACTCTGCAAAGCAACTTCTGTGCTGTTCTCACACCTCAGAGCCTGGGTGAGATGGTGGTGGCCAGCATTTACTTTCACGTCGACGGAAATAGGTTTGAGGAATTGATGGGAGAACTACATCTACTCAATGGTACCCTGAGGCTAACTGCAGGCGGAGAAACTCCTACCCATGTCAACCTTCACCCAGAGAAGACCAAAAGTAGCACTTACATTTTCAGTTACAACCACGGAACATGGTACACAACCAAAGAAAACAACAGCCCTATCTCTGCAGATGGCCCTAACACACGCACTGTGTTCTACCAACACAAAGAGCTCTCCTACTTACTCTCCATAGAGTTTGTGGCCTACCAGTGGTACAAGTTCAATATGTACCTTTATATGAATCAGAAGAGGGCTTTCTTTAGGTCTGTAGCAGAAAGAGACCTGGAAGTCCATGTTTTCAGCAGTGGCCACCCTTCTTTTCTGCAGAGCTTTGCTTACTTGGTGTGGTTTATCCCTGCACAACCTCCGATGCTACAGTGTGAGTGGACCTTCCATCTGCAGCTTTTTGGAACACAAAAAGACCACCTTCTCCAGAATAGCACGTACACATACAATGATCATGTAAGAAACGCCACACGTTTTGTCCGTCGCTCTGCTTTACCCTTTGATCCAGAGAAGTATACGGGGTTTGTGGCAAAAGTGAACTGTACCAGAAGTGCACTTGCACCAGCTCTTTTAAGAGTCAGAGTCAACAACCACACTGCAAAAACCATAGAAGCACCGGTGTCTTGCCAGAAAGAAGCCTGTTACATACACACTATGTACATTCAGAGACCTGTTCTTCATACCTCTGTCCTGCACCAGAAAAGGGGGACATCATTTTACCTCTTTGTCAGATTGCTAATAAACTGCCACATTACTGTATATATCAGGCCCTTGTGGCGAATCTATCGTGTTAAGGACACAAAAATTATTCCAGACTGGGCAAACCCAATAAACTCTTCTTTGATGTCTGGTGTAGAGACGATACACTTAACTGTTCCCAGTTTTACTTTAGACTATGGTTTGTATCTGTTTAATTTCACTGTTGCGATAAACCCGATTACAACCTCAACAGTCATCAGGGGCACAGATAAAATTTATATTCAGATTGAGGGAAGTGACCTAGTGGCAAATATTGCAGGAGGCATGTGCCGCACAGTGGGGTTTTCTGATAATTGGACTCTTGATGGCTCTGCATCCTATGATCCTGATTCACAGGAAGGACTAAAGGGAATCACATTTACTTGGTACTGTACTAAAGAGGTGTCGGACTATAATACCATGGAAGTCAGTCCAGGAAAGACATGCCATCCAGACCAGAGGGATTTGAAATGGTTAACATCCTCAGGTCCAGTTCAAACAGTGCCACCAGAATCCCTCCCAGGAAACACCATATACTACTTTCGTCTAGTGATTCAAAAGGATGTAAGGAGGAGTTATGCTGACCAAACTGTAGATGTGCAGTCTGGCTCCCCACCTCTTCTGGAAGTGACATGCCTTGAAAACTGTGGTAGCGCTCTAATTCCAACAGAGAGATTCATCTTGTCTGGAAAATGCCTAAACTGTAGAACAACCAGCCAGCCAGTTTTCTACTGGTCCCTTTTTTCAGAAAACTCTACAGAAATTAGCTTTGACTGGTCTTCCAGAACCTCAACAGGGAGGTCTGGGGCTTACTTGTCTATACATGCCCTGACTTTTGCAAAGACTGAACATCGTTCCTACATACTTCTGTTAAAAGTAACTACCTGGGATGGCAGGTCCTCAGCCTACAGACACATGTTTAAGGTAAATTCTCCTCCTAGGGCTGGCAAGTGTACCATCAACCCAAACTGGGGTACAGCCTTTCTGACAAAATTTGTTGTTCATTGCAGTGGATTTTTTGACAACAATTTACCTCTGACATATAAAGTGATAGTAGCTTCCAATGTACCCAGAAGTGCCAAAATAACTTCTGTGGAGCAAAATACATTTGGCACAATTCTGTACTTTGGTTATCAGCCTAAAACCCCTCCATCTTTTCTCCCAGTTGGAGTGCCCTCTCAGAAGTACACCTTGACACTTTACGTTCAAGTCCGTGATGCCCTTGGGGCATTTACCCAAGTGAATTTACATGTCCGCGTGCAGAACCCAGTTAAGAGCCGACCATTAGCTGTTGTGTTTCATGAACTGCTGGCCTCAGTGAGCGGTTTAAGCGCACCAATGACATCTTATCTCCAGACTGGAGATTATTTTAGCGCAGGTTATTTGGCTTATGTGGCAGCCTCAGTCTTAAACTTTATTAAAGTCACACCAACGCTTCAGCTCCCTAAGGCTCGGTTTCGGGAAAGCCTGATTAAAGCAGCCCTGAATATTTCAATTGAGAGCACAATGAAAATCAACCAAGTAGTTGCTTCTCTTTCTCAAGCCACAGAGGAAGCTGAAGAAGTGAACGTCCGATCACAAGACCTTGCCATTTGGAAACTGGCAGAAGTTACGGAAATGCTGAAGATACAGAGGAATGAGAGCCATTGGTCTGAGGAAGCAGAAATTCAGAGCAGTGGAATACTAAGATGCTTGTCCAACATCATGAGAGCTGCTCTTCTGCGTCGCAGGAACGTCAATGTGAGTGGAGTTAAACAAGTCTTCTCCATCATGGAAAATTTAACGGAGATAGTTTTCCAGGGCAAAGTCCCTGGAGAAACAGAAACTCGAATGGAAACAAAACAGTGGAATATTACTCTGAAGAAAGATGAAACCTGGAACATTACAAATGCTTCCTCTACCAGAAACACTTGCAGAAATTGCTTTTATCCATCACTGAAAAAGGGAAATTATTCAGGATTGCACCATGATGCTGTGATTTCCACTGCCCTTTTTGAGTTTAATGAGAACCCCTTCCCTTGGTTAGGTTACACATCAGAAATTGCAACAATGGTCTTAGGGTTCAAAATGGCAGAGACTAAGCCTAATGGGGATCTAGTAGCGATCATACCTGAAGGAGCAGAAATTACTATTGCTAGGAAAGATATGGAATCTTCAACTTTTCAGTTAGCAATGGGACCTGATAAAACACAAGCTTACACAACTGGAGGATTTAGTTTAGAAGTCAACAGAAATACCAAGAGCATATACATCCAGATCCTGACAAAATTAGAAGTTACTTTCAAGGTGCTAGTATTTCCAGGTGTCAATGTCACACATGCTTCTCCCATAGCCTCATTCGCTGCTTTTCACAACATGGCAACAGTTGCAAGCAAAAATGAGACAGCTAGTGCTGACTGTAACATTAAGGCTCCCTATATTATCTGTCTCCCAGAGTCATTGCTGACAGCTGCAGCTCAAGAAAGCGGTACAGACACTCATAACATCTCCATTGTCTTGCTGACACCCTATTTCATAAGGTATCAAACGCAGAGGCTGGTGAGCATACACATATTTAGTGACCAGTGCTTATTTCTGGATGGGGTTCAAAGTCTGTGGAGAGAAGACACATGCAGGCTGGGCTCCCTGACCAACTGGCAGAGGGTACACTGTATCTGCAATATGGAGCGAAGTCGCAGAAGTCTGTCTGCCCACGCTGTGTTAAATCTATCCACGTCTGACATCAGGTTCCTGGCAGCCAAAGTAATAGTTACCCCCAACACAGTAGACCTGGGAAAAACCCTGATAGCAGACATACCTAAAAACCCAGTAACCCTCTTAACAGTGCTCTTTATTTTTACTGTCTACTTTCTTTTGTCTCTCTGGGCCATGAGAAAAGACAGAGCTGACAGGAACAGGAAAAACAAGATTATAGTTCTGCCAGACAACGACCCCTTTGATGAAGTGAGCTTTTTGGTCACTTTATACACAGGCAGTCGCTGGGGAGCTGGAACCAAAGCAGATGTCTTTCTTCAGCTCATCGGCCAGAATGGCACGAGTGATGTCCATTGTTTACAGCACCCACATTTTCTGTCTTTCCAACAAGGAAGCACTGATTGTTTTCTGTTAACTACCAAGAAAGACTTGGGAGACATTTGTTCCTTCAGGGTCTGGCACAATAACAAGGGCCCATCTCCAAGCTGGTTCTTAAGCAGAGCCAAAGTCGAGAATATGTCCACAAGGAAGACCTGGTTCTTTATCTGCAGGAAATGGCTTTCTCTTGACAAGGGCGATCACTTACTAGAAAGGACATTTTCCGTCACAAACCCCAAGACACCTCTGCCCAGAATCGACTATTTTTTGATTAATCTTGCCAGCAGCCTGATAGAGGGCCATCTGTGGTTCTCAATTTTTGCTCACGTTCTCACTGGCACTTTCAGCAGGCTCCAAAGGTTGTCTTCATGTTTAGCAATATTATTATTAAACTTGCTTGTTAACATTATGTTCTTTAATGCTGCCAAGAATGAAGAATCTTCAGTACACTTGAGGTATCTGAGATCAATAACAGTAGGAATTGAATGTGCTTTGATTACCATACCCGTGGAAATTATTATAATTGCCTTATTTAAATATTCCCAGAAGGAACCTTCTCCTCATGGTGTGGCTCAGACAGATCCAAAGGTAAATTCACCCCTCCTGACTGGAAATCTTAAGAACTGGAAGGCACGTTTGCAAAAATTGTACCTTTCAGAAACTTCAGCACAGTCGAGGAATACTAGCCCCTCAGAGGACCTTCCTGGTCCCAGCAACTCACAGAGCCCACCATGTTCCAGAAAGACAAGAAGCAAGGTAGCTCCCCAAAACTGGAGTAACTGCACCATTTCTGAAAGAGATGCAGATGTAATTGGAACAGAGGAGCAGATGATAACCACAAGTTCCCCTCCAATGGCTAAGGTCTGCCAGAGAAGGACACGATCGAGTTCCAATTTCAGTAATAATTACACAGAAGAAGGGGGCAACTTTCAGAAGGAAAGGAAACAACTAAGCATTACCTCCTTGCCCTCTCACAAGAGACCACACATAGTTTTTTGCTGGTGGTGCGTCTATCTCTCATGGGCACTAGTTGCAGCTGTCACTGGTCTATCATCATTTTTCATTGTGTTATATGGTTTGTCTTATGGCTATCAGACTTCACAAGAGTGGCTTTTAGCATCTGCAGTCTCCTTTGTTGAGAACGTGTTTTTTCTTTCAATTCTAAAAATCAGCTTTTTCTCAGCTGTGAGTACAATTCGTCCAAAAAACTGTGAAAACATCACATGGTTAACTCATGAAAAGTATTCCGAGGTTAAGTTGGATAGAGAAATGATGAGTGCAGATGAAATGAGAAAGCTGCACTTGAAACTTGCTGAGGTCAGAGGCACCAAGCAGTATAAGCCTTTAGGAGCTGATGAAATCGCACACATGTTGAAAAGGGAAAAAATTAAAGTCAAGGCATTTATTTTCACAAAATGTTTCATCAGTCACCTTGTCTTTTTAATACTGCTATTAAATTTTGTCTATCCCATTGAGCATACCAACAGTTTCCACTACAGCAAATTCATCTATAAGCAATTCTCTCCACAACTCTTGGAGGTAACTAAGCTAGAACATATCTACGTGTGGGTGAATGATTTGTTCTTGCCTTTGATCCACAATGAAATTCAGCCAACCTTTCTTCCTGGGAGCTGCTCCAAAATCATTGGTTTGCCTAGGATGAGGCAAGTGCGGGCTAAAAATACAGAGAAAAAGTGTTTCCATCCTCACAGCTTTGTAAATAACTTTGTGATCAGTAAAAGCCACTGTCTTCACAAATATGGCAGTGACAGCCCAGAGAAAGGTGACTATGCTGGCAGTTGGACAAAGGTTGTTGACCACTCTGTTTCCAGGGATGCCAGCAGTTACAGTGGGTTCACTTACCAGCAAAACAGGACTCCATGGACATATTACTCATATGGAGATTTGCACACATATGGACCAGAAGGATACATGTTTTACTTTTTCCCTGAAGATGAAAGATCTAATTCAACAACAAGGCTGGATGCTCTCAAACAGAGCAACTGGCTTGATGAAAACACATGGGCTGTGATCATTGAGCTAACTACATTTAACTCAGATATAGATCTCTTTTGCACCATTTCAGTCATATTTGAAATGTCTCCTTTTGGGGTCCTAAAATCAAGTTTGTATCTACACTCTTTTGCACTCCCCATTTTTCATCAGCAAACTAAAGCTCAAATGTTTGTGTCTGTAATTGTTCTTGCCTTTCTGTTCATTTACATTGCAGATGAGCTTTTCATCATAGGCCAAGAAAAAAAAGATTATATTAAAAACATTTCCAATATAATCAACTTTGGATTAAAATCAACATTCCTCCTTTTTGTTTTTTTAAAAGTCATAAAGTTTAAGGTAGGAGCAGATATAGTGGAGTTTTACTTACTTCACCCAAACGATTTCATTAATTTTCATGCAATTTCTTATTTAGATGAGAATTTAAGGATTACTATGGGCTTTTTAGCGTTTCTTGTAGTTTTGAAAACTCTAAAATATTCTCAGTTCTTTTATGACGTGCGCCTGGCACAAAGATCAATCTTGGCAGCCCTTCCCGGACTGTCCTCAATGGCCCTTGTGGTGACGGTGTACTTCTTCGTATTTACGGCTTTTGGCTACCTTGTGTTTGGGCAGCATGAATGGAATTACAATACCATGACTCATTCAGCTCAGACCATATTCTCTTACTGTGTCTCAGCTTTCAGAGACACTGCATTTTCATCCAACAAGCTTTTTGGTGGTCTCTTCCTAGCCTCTTTCATGTTTGTGATGGTCTTTGTCTTGATCAATCTCTTCCAAGCTGTTATTATGACTGCCTATGGAGAGATGAAACAACCCATATATGAAGAACCATCCGATGAAGCACAAGTGGTTTCTTTTATATTGCAAAGGCTTAGAAAGATATTTTATCTTCTGATTTGTAAAACATCCAAAGCCAGTGAGACCGATCTATTTCACAATACACTCTATGGGCAGCCTGGAAGAAGACATCAACAACATTTAGGACTCAAGAACAGAAAAATAAATGGTAAAAAAATGGTTTATCTTGTCATATGAGCAAGGAAAGATTTTGTATTTAAGACCACCTTTACTCTGTAAGACTTGCATTTCACATAATACTCATAAATAAATCATTTACCTTTAAGAATTTTTTAACATTCAAGCCCTTACTAGTGAATGTGTTCAGATTTTCTCCAGACTATTTTGCATCAATTTCAGCAGTACTTGGCTGTCACAGTGTGGTGGGCTGACCACGGCTTGCTGGTCAGCCCCCAGCCAGCTGCTCACTCACTCCCCTCCCAGCAGCGTGGGGAGAGAATTGAAGGGCAAAAGTGAGAAAAACCCTTGTGGGTCGAGATAAGGATGATTTAAGAAATGAAGGGGAGAAAACCCCAAAACCACGAGTGATGCAAAAGCAGTCACCACCTGCTGACAGATGCCCAGCCAGTCTCTGAGTAAAAGTTACTTTCGAAAAAGTTCCCTCGCTCCCGTTCTCTTGCTAAGCATGCCCTTATACCTCATGGCATCAGTAACCTCGCCAGGCAGAGCCGGTACACGCGTGAACTGACGCCCGTTTCACAGAGGTGATGTGTAAGGAGTCAGCTCAGGAGTGTGAGCAGGGCTCTCACCTCCAGCCGAGCACATGCTAACATTAGAGCAAAAATGGCCCGAGATCTGAAAATGCTGATAAATCCTTCCTACTCAATGAGCATAAGGAATAAAAAAAAGGAAGGATGAGTTGTCAGACTGGGGCCCAACAACTAATAACAAACCTTCACAACACTGCATTGCATCTGTGTGCTGAAGACTTTTTACAGTGTCCTTTGGAAGAAGTTAACCATCGTCTACAAAATCCCATTATATTGTCTGGTGGGGTGGGGGGGTAGTAGACGTCTGTATTGTAAAACTGTACCTGCACACTTGTCACTGTGGGACCTCCTGTAAGGGAAGACTGTCCAACACAACTGGGAAGACTGGACAGCTTGGTCAAAACCCGTATTTCTCATTCATAAAGCTGGGGGCATCGTCCAGGCAGTTCAAAGTTCAATTTGAATACAAACAGGCCTTTTTCTTTTTTTTTTTTTTTTTTTTTTTTTTTAAACCTCATCCTCTTCACGACGCAATGAGTTTACGGGGAGCGATCCGGCTGAGGGGATGGCGTTGCCTCTCGGCCCTCAGCCACTCGCTCCTTGCTGCAGAGGCCGCGGCCCGGCAGGACCTGCCGTTCCCAAAGCCAAAACGTCCTCCCGCCCTGAGCTCCAGCCACTTTCTGGGTGGGGTCGGCCCGTTCCGCACCCCACGATGCGGGGCCGGTGCCGGCGGCTGCCCGGGGAGGCCCCGGCCTCGCGGCCCGCGGAGGCGCTGGCCCTTTAAGGAGGGGCGGCGCTGGGCCCCGAGGCCGCAGCGGCAGCACGGGAAACCGGGAAGTGGTCGCCCACCCGCCGCCACGCGTGGGTCGTGGTCGCCGGCGGCTCTGGTGGGTGCCGCGCAGCTCGGGTGGGCAGAAATCAGCGGTTCTGCGCCGCGGCCTGTACGCGGCTGCGGCTGAGGCGGGCTGCGGCCTTTCCCGCCGCTTCCTGCCCCCCGGGAAAGGGGCTGGGCCCAGGCCCTTGTGGCAGCCAGGCCCCGGTGTGAGGGCTCCCCGGGAGCGGCTGCCGCTAATAGCGAATATTATTAAAAACAAAAGGAGCGACCCTATAACCTCCCTTCAGCGTGTCTGGGATCTGAAGAAGGCTTTTCTGTTCTGCTTACCAGCCGGGATCCCTCTCTGGCGACAGCCCGCCTCAGGACAGGACCCGGAGCGGCTCGTGTGTGGCCGCGGAGGCAGAGCACAGCGAGTCGGCGAAGCCTTGCTGCAGAGGTGGGAGAGCAGAATTCAAACCCTGCTTTGCTTGGAGCGGGGAAGGTTCAAAATCATCACACCCCACCGCCGCAGTGCCAGGCTCACTACGGCATAAGTTAAACTGAGTTGGAGGGACCCTCCCTCCCCTTAAAACTGCAGAAGCGAATGTGAGGAGAGTTGTAAACTGAGAGACAGCATGAGTCTCCTGAGAGCAGCCTGCTGACCAGGAGACACTCGTGATTCTGGATCTAGAGCCAAAGCTTGATTCTCATTTATTTTCTACACAAATGTTTTAATATAAAGTATATTCTTTGTTTAATAGAATGTAGTGGGCACAGATTGCATTTTGTGGGGAACTTTGTGAGTTTGAGGTTGGAGCTACAGGATGCAGCTTTTGAAGGGTACTGGGGAGAGGATTCCAGGGAAGTTCAGAGCTCTTTGAGGGCATTGCTTTTGAACATACACAAAGAACAAGCTTTAAGTAGTCTAGGCAACTTAGGGAAAACCCTTGTTTCCTCTTATATGTAGGCATTTCGAATATGAGGTTGCACTTGAGCAAGGTGTTGATGGGATCACAGCTTCAGACTTAGAAAACCATAGGGCCATGGAAACAATCAGGTATTCAACTCCTCTTGGAAAAGCAGGGGAGGTAGGAAGTTTGCAACATGTATGAGAGATGGGTACCACAGTTTCTCTCTGAGTTGGCTCTGATAACTCCAGTAAACATCTGCATATCTCAGTGATGTTAGAAATGGTCTCTCTGCTTAAGGAGAGAGGTTAATCATGTGGGTTTCCTTCACACTTAATCCAGACTTGCTTGCTGACGCATTAATTGTCTCTGAGGCCCTTGGGCTGGTAGGAGTCTCTATACAAAATGCCATCAGAATAAAACCAGTTGTGCCTTGGGTATGATGGGCTAAATAATATTTTGAGCTGTATTCCATCTCTAGGTATCTGTGCGTCGAAGAATTGGATTTATGTACTAGCAGTTAGTTATGCCAGTACTCGTGTCTGTGCATTGGTTACTTTTTTTTTCAGTTAGGGTTTTTCCCCCTGCGGTAGTGTTACCAATATACCACCTTGGAGGGACCACTAGAAGTATACCAGTGCAAAGATACCATATGCTGATTAATTTCCCTTAATTGGTATAGTTTACAAGTTGTATTAATATGAATCCCCTTTTGTCAGCAAAACTGATTATAACATGAAAACACTACACTGACTGTATTCTTACAGCTGAAATGGTTTGTTTTATATAAACAAAATTTAAGACCTTTATGCTTCTGGATCCCATGCCAAAAATGTTTTCCTCTTGCCTTAATTTCCTACGTAAAGGGAGAAGTTTGCCAGGCGAAGTAGCTATTATGACAAGAGCTGTATCTCTTGTCTCACTTCATGTCTTGGCTCCAGTAGAGTCAAGATACGCATCTGTGATCTCTACAAATATGACAAGGTTACATCAAGAACAGTGGAGGGAAAGTTTTACTTTACTTTGGTTAAACTGTAGGTTTTATTCTGCACAGGCACAGCAATTTGGGGTTGCCTGGAGATGTTTTCACCAAAGAAGGTTTTTGGTTTATGAGAATGGTAGGAAAAGATTTGGATTCTGCTGTTAACCTGACTTGGAATGAAGTTTTACTGCCCAGGCTTGTTGAGATGCTAAATTTTCTAGCCTGTACATTACATTTGCACTGGCGTGTTTGCTAAAGCAATGCTTAATCAGAAAATCAAAAAAGCTGTCAAGAGCCCCAACACTCAATAGGTAAGCACAAACCTGAGATTTGGATTAAGAAAGAAACTAGTTATCTGTGCAATTGTAACAGTTTAGCATTGTTTTTTGCTCTAGGCCAGGATAAAGCAAGAAAGGGTCAGTGCGTGATTTATGTTCCTTTTTCTCAATACCTGGTGAAAGCATTTTTCACATGTTCTTTCTGTTTTCTTTTTTACTGGCCAGCTGGCACATGAACCGTGCTGCCTCCTATAAAGTCTTCTAACTACATACCATAATAATTTTCCACTAAGCTTTCTTTCCCATCTCTTCATTTATTTTGTCATAACTTTCCTAATATTGAGTAAAGTTATTACTAAGTAACCACTTGGTGGTATGCATATGTGCCAAAAGGAAACATGCATTTCAATCTGTAACAGACATCATGGCTTTCTTAAACCCTATCTATCCATCCTCCCATCTATCCGTCCTCCCATCTATCCGTCCTCCCATCTATCCGTCCTCCCATCTATCCGTCCTCCCATCTATCCATCCACCCATCTATCCGTCCACCCATCTATCCGTCCACCCATCTATCCATCTATCGCTATGGCCAGTACTTTTAAAAACTCTTAACGTAAGTATACAGCATATAAAACTTGAATCGAGACCTCATCAACTCTGCTGCTTAATTAACTCCGATCTGCAGTCCACACTTTCCTCTTGGGCCTCAGTGACATCTTAGACTCATCTGTGGTTGCTGAACAGACAGAGGTCTGAAACCAAAGGAAAGTTGCTTAAATATCTGTGACACAGTGCAGATTCTGCTAATTCTCACTGGATTTTGACCTCGGGCAAAAATGAAATACTGCAAAGGTTTTGCATGTCTGCCCTCCTAGCATATGAGCCAGTAGCAGCAGTCTGTTCTGGTTATAGTGAATTCTAGGATCCACACATCTCCATCCATGATTAAATTTGTCACATGAAAAACCTGCCTTCCTCCTGGTTTACCTGTCATGAACAGAGCAGTAAATTTGTCCAAAAGAACTTCTGGAAGGAAAGATCATAAGCACATGTGCTCTGGAGAACAGGCTGTGCAGACTACAGAGTATTCGCAAAAGAAGTGTCCTGGCTATCTAGGGTAAAATATGTCTCCAGTGGTCTGAGAACAAGGATTTCTCTGTCTCCTACAGAAAACTATGGAAGTGGTTCTTCTATATGTGCCATGATGCCTATTTGATGAGCATATCAGGTGTTGAAAGAAGTGCAGCCTTAGTACTTGCATGTTTTTTTAGGCAAAGTAATCCAAGTACTGGTTGGGAAGCAAAGTCTTTCTGAGAGGAGCAAACAGACTAACCTGGAAACATGCTAAAAATTCATGGTGTTTGTGCCTGGCTGAATTCACATTATTTCATATTGCTACATGGCTAGAAAACAGCAATTTACTGTATGTGTGAGTCAGGAAGTCTTGAAGCTGCTAGCCCCTGACTGAAAGACTAATTTCCACTGTAAATTGTAATCAGAGGGGCAAAACCAAAATGACCTCTGTGTGAAGGTTTGAAACAAGGCACCTATTTGTAAGTTCTTGTGACAGAACTCCCAGCAAGTGCTCTGGAAAAGAAAACTTTCTAAGGGTTTAGTGACAGCGGACTTCTTTGCTTTATCAGACATGCTGGAAATACCTCTCTTTGGTATTTTCTTGTGCTTGCTGTTCGCAATAGCTGGGATAACAAAACTTGAGGACCATGACTTTGAGAGGAAATGGGCACAACCGTAAGGTGTGGGGGGCTATGTGCATGAGAAAGTTACATGTATAGTAGTACAGGTCTTTATTCTCAAGCTTTCTTAAAGCTGACACTCTTTACCCCGTACCTCACACCCCTACAGTAGTTTTGTGTTTTCTTTTCTTTATGAAGGTTTTATTTTACTTCGTTAAGCAGTCATCAGCTTGTGCTCACTCCTAACAAATTCAGTCACATTTTACTGGAAAGAATTCTCTTCCCCAAGTACGTTAACTCCGAGCATTTTGCTAGTCTCAGGGGATAGTAGGCATTAGCTGTCACTGCAAGGACAGTGTAACATGCAACCCCACGTAGTGGGGGCTGAGTATTTCCTTACAGGACCAACTTTGTTTTCTGTAGGGAAATAAATCACTGAAGCTGTATTTATTTCTCTCAGGATTATGTCAGGTTGCAGTGTCTTATTTCCCAAAACACTGTTAGCCTCTCATCATGTATTTCCACTAAATATTGGTGTTCCTATTTTTAGACCCTGTTGGAAAGTGTTGCACTAAGTTTAGATTGTGCTTAGCTGATACTTTCAATGGCACATATGTGGCCCTCCATAACTTAAAGGACAACTTAAAAGGAATCATTATCACTTAAATATTAATAGACCCTTACTGGCTTGTTCTTCCCCACAATGGATATTAATCTAACAAAGCTGTAACAGGGAGCTACAGTTTGGAAGGAAGACAAAATCAATTCAGGGCAGGGTGTAGCCTATGGCCATAGCATGCGCATTTATTGTGGGAAGAATACCAGGAGGGAGATCTAATGCAATCAGACCTCAGGTCTGGTTTCCCCATTTTGGCAAGGAATAACTGTCATCCAGAACTGATGTTCACTTCAGTGAACACTTCAGTGTTTGAATCTGTTACCTCCTCTCCAGCAAGTCCCTATAACTGTGCTGTGAGAAGAGCAACAAGCTTGCATTGCCTTCCTTTAATTTCTAGGCCTTTTTATGTATAGAATGGTAGAATGACATCATGGATGATGATGCGATAAGATTTGTACTCTGCTTAGGAAATCCTGTTGGAAGAGAAAGAGAAGGAAGAGGAATGAAGGGGATCAAGGAGAGAACCAGATATGAACGTTCATTAATGGGGGTGGGGGGTAAGGCAAGGAAGAACTTATGACACTGTAGTTCTCCCTCCTCTGTCAGGATTTTGTTCTGTGACACAGCAAAGAGTTCCACCATTCGCTGTGCCTCTGCGACCTGACGTGGAGATGGCCTCTACCGTGCATGCTTGGCCAGCTTGCTTTTATTTTATTCTGTCATTCACTCTTACTGTGTGATCCACTGTGCTGGGCTTTTACAACTGAGCCACTAAACAGCTGAGGTGCTGAAGCGAGAATTCCCCGCAGCCGGTGACGGCGGTACAACCTGTCACCGGGGCTGTACGGGTCCGATGTGTCCACTAGAGGACAGTGGTATATACTGGTTAACGCCCCTGGTGCAGCATTCCTGTGTGAAGCTGTTAAATTCTCACCTCATTTGAGGTTCTTCCTTATTAAATGCTGTCTAATTC